AAGGGGAGGAGAGGAAGGGGAGGAGAGGAAGGGGAGGAGAGGAAGGGGAGGAGAGGAAGGGGTGGAGAGGAAGGGAGGAGAGAAAGGGGTGGAGAGGAAGGGGTGGAGAGGAAGGGGAGGAGAGGAAGGGGAGGAGAGGAAGGGGAGGAGAGGAAGGGGAGGAGAGGAAGGGGAGGAGAGGAAGGGGAGGAGAGGAAGGGGAGGAGAGGAAGGGGAGGAGAGGAAGGGGAGGAGGAAGGGGAGGAGAGGAAGGGGAGGAGAGGAAGGGGTGGAGAGGAAGGGGAGGAGAGAAAGGGGTGGAGAGGAAGGGGGAGAGGAAGGGGAGGAGAGGAAGGGGAGGAGAGGAAGGGAGGAGAGGAAGGGGAGGAGAGGAAGGGGAGGAGAGGAAGGGGAGGAGAGGAAGGGGAGGAGAGGAAGGGGAGGAGAGGAAGGGGAGGAGAGGAAGGGGAGGAGAGGAAGGGGAGGAGAGGAAGGGGTGGAGAGGAAGGGGTGGGAGGAAGGGGTGGAGAGGAAGGGGTGGAGAGGAAGGGGTGGAGAGGAAGGGGAGGAGAGGAAGGGGTGGAGAGGAAGGGGAGGAGAGGAAGGGGTGGAGAGGAAGGGGTGGAGAGGAAGGGGTGGAGAGGAGGGGTGGAGAGGAAGGGGTGGAGAGGAAGGGGTGGAGAGGAAGGGGTGGAGAGGAAGGGGGGAGAGGAAGGGGTGGAGAGGAAGGGGTGGAGAGGAAGGGGAGGAGAGGAAGGGGAGGAGAGGAAGGGGAGGAGAGGAAGGGGAGGAGAGGAAGGGGAGGAGAGGAAGGGGAGGAGAGGAAGGGGTGGAGAGGAAGGGGAGGAGAGAAAGGGGTGGAGAGGAAGGGGTGGAGAGGAAGGGGAGGAGAGGAAGGGGAGGAGAGGAAGGGGAGGAGAGGAAGGGGAGGAGAGGAAGGGGAGGAGAGGAAGGGGAGGAGAGGAAGGGGAGGAGAGGAGGGGAGGAGAGGAAGGGGAGGAGAGGAAGGGGAGGAGAGGAAAGGGGAGGAGAGGAAGGGGTGGAGAGGAAGGGGGTGGAGAGGAAGGGGTGGAGAGGAAGGGGTGGAGAGGAAGGGTTGGAGAGGAAGGGGAGGAGAGGAAGGGGTGGAGAGGAAGGGGAGGAGAGGAAGGGGTGGAGAGGAAGGGGTGGAGAGGAAGGGGTGGAGAGGAAGGGGTGGAGAGGAAGGGGTGGAGAGGAAGGGGTGGAGAGGAAGGGGTGGAGAGGAAGGGGTGGAGAGGAAGGGGTGGAGAGGAAGGGGTGGAGAGGAAGGGGTGGAGAGGAAGGGGTGGAGAGGAAGGGTGGAGAGGAAGGGGTGGAGAGGAAGGGGTGGAGAGGAAGGGGTGGAGAGGAAGGGGAGGAGAGGAAGGGGTGGAGAGGAAGGGGTGGAGAGGAAGGGGTGGAGAGGAAAGGGAGGAGAGGAAGGGGTGGAGAGGAAGGGGAGGAGAGGAAGGGGAGGAGAGGAAGGGGTGGAGAGGGAAGGGGAGGAGAGGAAGGGGAGGAGAGGAAGGGGAGGAGAGGAAGGGGTGGAGAGGAAGGGGAGGAGAGGAAGGGGAGGAGAGGAGGGGGAGGAGAGGAAGGGGTGGAGAGGAAGGGGTGGAGAGGAAGGGGTGGAGAGGAAGGGGAGGAGAGGAAGGGGTGGAGAGGAAGGGGAGGAGAGGAAGGGGAGGAGAGGAAGGGGTGGAGAGGAAGGGGAGGAGAGGAAGGGGAGGAGAGGAAGGGGTGGAGAGGAAGGGGAGGAGAGGAAGGGGAGGAGAGGAAGGGGAGGAGAGGAAGGGGAGGAGAGGAAGGGGAGGAGAGGAAGGAGAGGAAGGGGAGGAGAGGAAGGGGAGGAGAGGAAGGGGGTGGAGAGGAAGGGGAGGAGAGGAAGGGGAGGAGAGGAAGGGGAGGAGAGGAAGGGGAGGAGAGGAAGGGGAGGAGAGGAAGGGGTGGAGAGGAGGGGTGGAGAGGAAGGGGAGGAGAGGAAGGGGAGGAGAGGAAGGGGTGGAGAGGAAGGGGAGGAGAGGAAGGGGAGGAGAGGAAGGGGAGGAGAGGAAGGGGTGGAGAGGAAGGGGTGGAGAGGAAGGGGTGGAGAGGAAGGGGAGGAGAGGAAGGGGTGGAGAGGAAGGGGAGGAGAGGAAGGGGAGGAGAGGAAGGGGAGGAGAGGAAGGGGAGGAGAGGAAGGGGAGGAGAGGAAGGGAGGAGAGGAAGGGGAGGAGAGGAAGGGGAGGAGAGGAAGGGGTGGAGAGGAAGGGGTGGAGAGGAAGGGGTGGAGAGGAAGGGGTGGAGAGGAAGGGGTGGAGAGGAAGGGGAGGAGAGGAAGGGGTGGAGAGGAAGGGTGGAGAGGAAGGGGAGGAGAGGAAGGGAGGAGAGGAAGGGGTGGAGGAGGAGGGGAGGAGAGGAAGGGGAGGAGAGGAAGGGGAGGAGAGGAAGGGGTGGAGAGGAAGGGGTGGAGAGGAAGGGGTGGAGAGGAAGGGGAGGAGAGGAAGGGGTGGAGAGGAAGGGGAGGAGAGGAAGGGGAGGAGAGGAAGGGGTGGAGAGGAAGGGGAGGAGAGGAAGGGGAGGAGAGGAAGGGGTGGAGAGGAAGGGGAGGAGAGGAAGGGGAGGAGAGGAAGGGGAGGAGAGAAAGGGGAGGAGAGGAAGGGGAGGAGAGGAAGGGGAGGAGAGGAAGGGGTGGAGAGGAAGGGGAGGAAGGAGAGGAAGGGGTGGAGAGGAAGGGTGGAGAGGAAGGGGTGGAGAGGAAGGGGTGGAGAGGAAGGGGTGGAGAGGAAGGGGAGGAGAGGAAGGGGAGGAGAGGAAGGGGAGGAGAGGAAGGGAGGAGAGGAAGGGGAGGAGAGGAAGGGGAGGAGAGGAAGGGGAGGAGAGGAAGGGGAGGAGAGGAAGGGGAGGAGAGGAAGGGGAGGAGAGGAAGGGGAGGAGAGGAAGGGTGGAGAGGAAGGGGAGGAGAGGAAGGGGAGGAGAGGAAGGGGAGGAGAGGAAGGGGAGGAGAGGAAGGGGAGGAGAGGAAGGGGTGGAGAGGAAGGGGAGGAGAGGAAGGGGAGGAGAGGAAGGGGAGGAGAGGAAGGGGTGGAGAGGAAGGGGAGGAGAGGAAGGGGAGGAGAGGAAGGGGAGGAGAGGAAGGGGAGGAGGGAAGGGGAGGAGAGGAAGGGGAGGAGAGGAAGGGGAGGAGAGGAAGGGGAGGAGAGGAAGGGGAGGAGAGGAAGGGGAGGAGAGGAAGGGGAGGAGAGGAAGGGGAGGAGAGGAAGGGGAGGAGAGGAAGGGGAGGAGAGGAAGGGGAGGAGAGGAAGGGGAGGAGAGGAAGGGGAGGAGAGGAGGGGAGGAGAGGAAGGGGAGGAGAGGAAGGGGGAGGAGAGGAAGGGAGGAGAGGAAGGGGAGGAGAGGAAGGGGAGGAGAGGAAGGGAGGAGAGGAAGGGAGGAGAGAAGGGGAGGAGAGAAGGGAGGAGAGGAAGGGAGGAGAGGAAGGGGCGGAGTGAGGAAGGGGAGAGGAAGGGGAGGAGAGGAAGGGTGGAGAGGAAGGGGTGGAGAGGAAGGGGAGGAGACGTCTCAAAAATAGTTTTTTACACGTGGTCACTGTCACTCATGGGTCTGTCCTGGTGGAAGGGACGGTCAAAACTCAGCTTTTCCTTCAGGTTTGTAAGACGCCTAAAAAACTCACTTCTCTCACGTGGTTTGCAGCTATTGCACTATGAGCTTCGGGTTAATAACTCAGCAGAAAAAATGGGTTAGGCGCCGCGATGTAGGCAACAGAGCTAATTAACAGAAACGCATGGGTTTTGTTGATACATTCGCCTGCGCAACACAAACTGCGCGAAACAGAATGCGAAGACTTGATTGCACATGTGCATGTCTCTCGCATGTGCATGGATGCCCATCGCTATGGCATGCATATGCTGCCTTCTATGCATCCTCCATGTCTACGATACAACAGACACACTCCATCTCTAAATTTGTATCGCCGCAATACTCAAACAAGCTGCATCGTTTCTACTAGCTGGAATTTGGGAATTCTAAAAAACAAGCTGCATCGTTTCTTAATAAAACGACAGAAGTTTTTTTTTTTTTTTTTTTTTCTTCCAGATAGGCATTTACCGTGAAATCCGGCGCTCGTGTGCCTAAAGCGAGCGTTTGCGACTCGGTGAGCACCATTCTCACTCCCAGCGCGCCGCCACCCCCGGCAGTGCGTGATCCTGCTCCGGTTGTAGCACAGTTCCCGGCTGTCGCGCACGGCAACGCGAGCAGAGCTCGCGAATCTCGTAACCCGAAAACTCGCGACGCTGCGAATCCGACTGTAGCGCTAAATCCGGCGGCAGCAGCGGGAGTGCGATTTGCGGGAACCTTTACGACGAGAGAGGCCGTAGGGGAAACGACTTGGCGGGAAACGCGAGGAGCGTGATATGTGGCAGCGCGTCGAATGGGGACGTGGTGGTGAGGGGCCGCGGAGATGTGGCGCGGAAGCGCAAGCACCATTCTCGGCGCCGCGAGGCCGTGATTTGCGGAGAGATTCGTAAGCTTTGCGTGTTGCTGATTTCAAGTCTGTCGCACTGTCAGTCAGTTATCTTGCCTGTCGTCAACCGAAGATTCGTGAATCTCGATGGCCACGAAAGACGAACGACTGGCATGCGACAGGGGCCGATGAATTGAACCTTGGCACTGTTCCGCCCCGTCGCGTCGCTGGCGGCCATGTTGATCGTCGCGCCTGTGGGCAGTCCCGCGACGGACAGCTTCCGCACGGCGACGATATACTTGATGTTCACCACCGGGCCGTTCTTATACACCGTCATGATCGCGTTGCCCGCCGCGTTCGCGTCGCCGGGCGCGGCGCCCACGACAGACGATCCGCGGAGAACGGTTCCCACCTGCATCACCTCGCGCCCCAGCGGCTTCCCCTTGTGCTGTGCTCCCCCGGGGACCGGCGCGGGGTGCGTCTTGGGCGCTCCTGCGCCGCCTGCTGCGCCCTGCTTGGGCGTTCCAGGGCCCTGCTGCTTTCCGCCGGCGGGAGCGACCTTACCGCCGGGGGCCTTCCCCTTGGGGGTGGGCGCGGTCGTCGTGGGCACTACGGGGCTGCTCGCTTTCGCGTTCGGCGCGACGGCGATGCTCGCGAGCTTGGGAGTTCCGGGGAGGGGGGTGGTTTCCACTGTCTGCGGCTCCACTGCCGGGACTGCGGGGTCCGCTTCTTGTAGTTTTCGGGCGTCTGCCGCTAGGCCTGAAGGACAGAAAAAGGGTGGAGAAGGAGGAATAAGAGTCATACGGGAGCTACATGGAATACCACACACTTAATCGGTGTTTCAATGAGGCGAGAGAACAACTTGAAATTTGGAATGTTGGGAGAGAAGTCCTTACATGACAAGGCGAGAATCGCCAAGAGCGCGGAGAGGAAGCGAGTTGTCGACATTGCGTCAATTGGTCGAGAGGGAGAATGGAACGCTCGTAACTGGAAAACTTCGAGCCAGCAGGTTGTAGGGTTGTGTGGAGTTGTAGAGATGTAGAGAATGAAGCTGCGATGTGGATTGAAGTTGTCGGAATATGAATGATTGGTGAGTGAGAATGATGAGCAAGTCTAGGGTTTTGTAGTTGTGTGTCTCAACCCGTGTCGCAACGTTGGGGAGGGAAAAGTCTGGAGCCAAACCGCGACATTGGAAGGTCGAGAAATGCGGCTCGACAGAGTCTATGCAAGCAAAGCAAATTCACCGATCTACGGAAGAGAGAGCGGGTAACTGGGGTCGGTGTTCTGGCCTCCCGGCCCGGGCAGATATTTGTGCGCGAAGTTTTTCGTCACCGACTGAGAGCAAGAGTGGGCAAGGTGACTGGTATCCCGTTTGACGTATTTCTTCGCACCGTCCATTTTGCTGCTGAGCGGTCTGTGACGAAATCGTTGGCGAACGCAGATCCGTCGGTATTATCGAGTAACCTGAACGGCTACACCTTCGTCCAGCTCTATGGGGGAACGTTTGATTGAACCTCCCTCCCACGGGTTTGTTCTGGAACAGTTTCCGTTGGCTGAAAAAAGTTGGCCGGAGGATTTGACTGCTATGGACCCGTTGGAGGGTCTGACGACAAAATTTCCGTCAATCTCCTCTGCCCTGCGTCAAACTTGGAGCGAGCAGGAGCACCGAGAGTTTCCGTCAGCTTCTGACAACTTTGGAAGGGGGAAATTCCTCAAGTGTTTTACACCACAGCGGAAATTCCTCATATTTTGAAAATTGACCGCTCAGTCACCGAATCCCGCTACACTCTCAACGAACCGCATTTCCGAAAATTCAAATGTCGCGGTTCGTGAAAAACGACTTCCCATCCCAACCCAAACTTTCACATGCCACAACACCAAAACATGAGCAGAGATTCCCATAAAAGCGTCCACCTTCTCACCTTTTCCCAACAGTTCACTCGTTCCTCTCTCCAATTCCAGGCCTTCAACACTCGATCGAAATTCCACGAAAAAGGTCTCCGAATCAGAGTACATTCAAGTAGTCGAGCACTAGTGTTCGCAAACCACTTCCCGAAACAATGTCGACCACTCGCTTCCTGACAGCGCTTCTGGCGATTCTCGCCATCTCATGTAAGTCTTCACTACCTGTAAACATCCGAAGTCCTGGCGCATTTCTGCCTCGTTCACTTCACAAAATCCAACTGCTCTGTCAATTCTTTCAGCAGTATCCTCCTCCAGATTCGACAAGTATTCCCTTCCCTCAAATCTAATCTAACGCTGATCCCCTTCCCTTCCTCCATTTTTCAGGCCTAGCAGTAGACGCTCGAAAGCTCCAAGAAGCGACCCCCGCCGTGCCCGCGGTGGAGCCGCAGACGGTGGAAGACACCCCCCTCCCCGGAACTGCCGCGCGCACCGCGAAGATCGCCAGCATCGCCGCCGCGCCGAACGCGAAAGCCACCAGCCCCGTAGTGACGACCGCGCCCACCCCCAAGGGAAAGACCCCCGGCGGAACGCGGAAGGGCCCTGGCGCGCCCAAGCAGAGCACAGCAGGCGGCGCAGGCGCACTCCGCGGACCGCCCAAGGCGCACCCCGCGCCGGTCCCCGGGGGGGCGGAGCACAAGGGGAAGCCGCTGGGGCGCGAGGTGATGCAGGTGGGCACCGTTCTCCGCGGGTCGTCCGTCGTTGGCGCCGCACCCGGCGACGCGAACGCGGCGGGCAACGCGATCATGACGGTGTATAAGAACGGCAAAGTGGTGAACATCAAGTATATCGTCTCCGTGCGGAAGCTGTCTGTCGCGGGTCTGCCCACCGGCGCGACGATCAACATGGCCGCCAGCGATGCGACGGGGCCGGCGGTGATCAGCTTCGCGGGAGCGAAATGGGTGAACACCACGGGCATTAGCTCGAAGAGCGGCGCTGCGTCGACGGAGAATTATCTCAGCTATGCGACGACCGGCGTGTGGGAAGACGTCGCCAACATGAAAACGGCGTCTGGCGAAGCGCTTTCGACGGCGTTCGCGAAAGTGATGGTGAACCCCGAGAAATTCTACGTGGTTGTGTCGACCCCGGCGTTCCCCGCGGGCGCCGTGCGCGGACAGATCCGCAAGGGCACTGGCGCAACTGTGCTTCCTCCCGGCCACCGCAAGCAGTGGGAGGAGAAGAACAAGGCCAAGGCGCCTGGTAGTTAGAATTGACACACAAGCGGACAGTGCATTAGTAGGGATTCGTTGTTGGCTAATGTAGCTGGCATGCCATTTTGCCGAAGCTCTAACATGTTGAGTGTAGTTAGTTCTAGTTACAGTTAGTTGAGATGGATTCTTCAATTCTTACATATGAACCTGCAAACAGTTAACTAATATTGTTTCTTTGGTACAGGTACCTGTTATAGGGTAGCTGTTATACCTGTGCAGCCACACATACCATTCTAATGCATGCTGCTCGAACCGTATCGCTCCTTTTGAAACTTGTTGCCCGCGGAAATCATGGTATAGTACGCCACACGCAACCAGTATGTCATACATCACCCCATCCTCCTCCCCTCCCCCCCAAAAACCAACACCAATAACACGAGTGACTCGAATCGTGTTATACGGAGGGTTAAACGCGGGGTTTATTGGGGGTTGAAGGCGCAGGCCTGCTCGAAGATGAGCTGGCGGATGCGGGGGATGTCATACTCCTCCTGCTCGAAGCTCAGGTCGAACTGGAAGGGGTTTGGGTGCGGCGGGTCCTGGTTCGCCTTGTGGTAGTGCGCCAGGTACGGGTGGGCCAATGCCTCGTCCACTGTAGGAGGGGAGGGTATGGGCAAACAGAGGAAGGGAAGGCTGGTATCACTGAGTGGACAATGGGCATTCAGATGAGGCGGGTCCTGGTTGGACTTGTGATAGTGTGCCAAGTGCCTCGTCCACTGCTGCAGGAGAAAGGGTTGGGGAGGAATGGGGGATCTGGGGGGAGATGGGGAGCTGGGGTGGGTCTTGGTTGGTAGTATGCCAGGTAGGGGTGCGTCAATGCCTCGTCCACTGTAGGGAGGAGAGATACAGGCAAACAGGGGGAAGTTGAGGGGGTTGGGGGTTGTGAGGAAGGCCCTGGTTGGCCTTGTGGTAGTGCGCCAGGTTCGAGTGGGCCAATGCCTCCTCCACTGCGGTTGGGGAACAGGCAGGGGGAAGATAGGGGACGACGGAGGGAGGTGAGGGAATGCGGCGGGTGCTGGTTGGCCATGTGGTAGTGAGCCGCCCCCTGTGGTAGTGAGCCGCCCCCTGTGGTAGTGAGCCAGGTACGGGTGGGTCAATGCCTCGTCCACTGTGGTTGGGAAGGACGCATGAGCAAACGGGGGTGACGGGAAGCCCAGGTAACTCAGAGTGAAGACTGAGGAGGAAGGGAGCGAGCAAAGGCATGGGCAAACAGGGGAAAATGGAAGGCTCAGGTCACTCGGAGTGAACATTGGGGAATTAAAGAGCGAGGGGGGAGCTGGTTGGCCGTGTGGTAGTGCACCTATGGTTGTGCCAGTGTCTCGTCCAATGCAGTAGAAAGTGTGTGGAAGAGAAGGGAGAGAAGGGGAAAGGCGGAGCAGTAGTAGCAGCTCGTCAGGCGAACCGTGGACGGGAACTGTGCTTCTCCATTGAAATACTCCCAATTTATGGCGGCACGGGGATTATTGGGGGTTGACGGACGGTGCAGGCCTGTAAGAAGATGAGCTGGCGGACGCACGGGAGAGGCGGGATGCTTGGAATAAGACTGGGAAAATATTTTGCGGCGATGAGAGTCCTGGTTGGGTTTGTGTGGTAGAGTGCGCAAGATGATTGATGACTTCAATCAATCAACATGTGGAGGGCGTTTTTACATTGAAAGAAGGCCTCCTGTGTGATTGCATTCTTTTTTCCAGTCGATCAAGAGCCTCTGGATTCCAATCACTCTGTTTATAGAAACGCACGCACTTTTGAGGCGCCTCAAAAGTCGATCAAGAGCCTCTGGATTCCAATCACTCTGTTTATAGAAACGCACGCACCTGTGATTCTCTTTCTCGGGTCGAAGACCAGCATGCGCTGCACCAGGTCAGCCGCGGGTTCCGACAGCTTGGGGAACACGTCCCTGATGCTCCGCGCGGGGAAGCCCTGCAGCTCTGAGAGCAGGAAGGTGCGCGCGGCATCGTTGACTATGAAGGAGGCGTCTTCGGCAGAGGGGGACCCGATGAGCTGGTGTGGAGACAAGTGTGAGGAGATGGGCGAGAGGAAGTGCAAGAGATGAGACTGGAGAGAAAGCCCTGTAGCTCAGGGAACAGAAAGACCGCCCCGAGCTCTGACAGCTTGGGAAACACGTCCCTGATGCTCCGCGCGGGGAAGCCTTGTAGCTCTGAGAGCAGGAAGGTGCGCGCGGCATCGTTGACTATGAAGGAGGCGTCCTCTGCAGAGGGGTACCCGATCAACTGGTGAGTTGGAGCGGGAGGGGGAGAGGTGACGCACAAAAAGAGGAAAGCTTTTGAGTCGACTCAAAAGCGTGAGTTGGAGCGGGAGGGGGAGAGGTGATGCACAAAAAGAGGAATGCCTTGCGATCACTCCCCTGCTCTCACTACTACCCTCACCCTTCTGCTCTCCCTCCCCTTCCCCTTTGCTATGGATGCACCTCGCAGGTCGTGCGGAGCTGGTCCACGTAGTTATCCCCTTTGAGCACAATGTGCCCCAGCACCAACTCCAGGTAGATCAGTGCTACCAGCAGCCCCTGCTCTCCCTCCCCTACTGTCCCTCCCCTGCTCTCCCTTCCCTACTCTCCCTCCCCTGCTCTCCCTTCCCTACTCTCCCTCATCTACTCTCCCTCCCCTACTATCACTCCTACCCTCTCCTTGAGACGCACCTCGCAGGTCTTGCGGAGCTGGTCCACGTAGTTATCCCCTTTGAGCACAATGTGCCCCAGCACCAACTCCAGGTAGATCAGAGCCACGGACCACACGTCGATGGACGCGCTGTACTGCTGGTTGTTCACCAGCAGCTCAGGAGCGCGGTAGTATCTGGTAACCACGTATTCAGTCAGGTGGTCGGTAGTTTCCACCTCCTCCCTGATCTCCCTTTCCTGCTCTCCCTTCCCTACTTCCCCTCCCTTTACCCCTAGCTACGGACGCACCTCACAAGTCTTCCGAAGCTGGTCAACATAGTTATCCCCTTTGAGCACAATGTGTCCCAGCACCAGCTCCAGATAAATGAGCGCCACCGACCACACGTCAATGGACGCACTGTACTGCTGGTTGTTCACCAGCAGCTCAGGAGCGCGGTAGTATCTGGTAACCACGTATTCGGTCAGGTGGTCGGTGGTTTCCACGCGGGTTCGCGCAAGGCCGAAATCGGTGATCTTGATGTTGCAGCGCGCGTCGATGAGGATGTTGGGAGGCTTTAAGTCGCGATGCAGGATGTTGGCCGAGTGGATGTACTTTGTGCCTCGCAGCAGCTGGAAGAGAATGAACTGGAGAAAAAAGGGGAGGACGGAGGGAAGGGGAGAAGCGATGTGAGGGTACAAGATGTGGGGTGGTGCAGGATGTTGGCCGAAAACATGGAATACACGAGCAGGGAACGGGGACGGGGACGGGGACGGGGACGGGGACGGGGACGGGGTCGGGGTCGGGGACGGGGACGGGGACGGGGACGGGGACGGGGACGGGGACGGGGACGGGGTCGGGGATGGGGACGGGGACGGGGACGGGGACGGGGACGGGGACGGGGACGGGGACGGGGACGGGGACGGGGACGGGGACGGGGACGGGGACGGGGACGGGGTCGGGGTCGGGGTCGGGGTCGAGGTCGGGGAAGGGAAAGAGAAGGGAAAGGGAGGGACGCTGGCAGAGTGGATATACTCGGTTCCGTGGAGCAGCTGACTGAATGACCTCATGCAAGCTCGGGATGCAAGCCCGTACAGGAGGGATGCTGGCAGAGGTCATCCCTGTGGCATGAGGTGCATTTTGAGGCGCCTCAAAATGCGCCTCAAAATGCACCTCAAAATGCGCCTCAAAATGCACCCGTACAGGAGGGATGCTGGCAGAGGTCATCCCTCTGGCATGAGCTCGTACGCGATTGCAGCCTCACACCATAACGCGATCAGATTGAACTTTCACTTGCACCCACCCACCTTGTGCCACCACAGACGACCCACGTCTAGTGCACAAGGTGAACCTCACATTGTAGTGCCTCCCACGCACCCGCCTTGTTGTGGCAGCCACTCACCCTGTAGTGCCACACGCCTTGCACCGCCAGGCCTTGCACACGGCCACTCACTCCACGCACCTTGTAGTGCCGTTCGTCCATGGCCTGGCCCGACCGAATGACCTCGTGCAGGTCCGTGGGCATGAGCTCGTACACGATATACACGTCCTGAAAGCTCTTCTGAGGCGCCTCAAATGGCGTACCTTGTAGTGCCGTTCGTCCGTGGCTTGTCCCGACCGAATGACCTCGTGCAGGTCCGTGGGCATGAGCTCGTACACGATATACACGTCCTGAAAGCTCTTCTGAGGCGCCTCAAATGTCGTACCTTGTAGTGCCGTTCGTCCATGGCTTGTCCCGACCGAATGACCTCGTGCAGGTCCGTGGGCATGAGCTCGTACACGATATACACGTCCTGGAAGCTCTGTGGGTTGGGCGGGCGGATGATGTCCTTGATGGCGATCACCTAGTGGGAGGGGGATGATGGGGAGATGGAGAGGGCAAAGGTGTGGGAGAGCAGTTAGTGGGCACGGGCTCATACACAATGTGCTCATCCAGATTCAACCAGAGGGAGAGTGAGAGAAGGCTCACATTGGGTTGGTTCCGAATGCATGGTGCGGAGGAGCACAGAATGCATCTTCTACAAGAGTGCTCATCCAGATTTAGAGTGTGATCACCTAACAAAACAGAGAGCCGGCTCACATTGGGGTGGTTCATGTTGCGGAGGAGCACGATCTCGCGGAGAGTCCGCTTGGCGTCTGTGCGGTCATTAAACGCCTTGCCGATCTTCTTGATTGCCACCTCCTCCCCGGTTGTCTCGTCTCGTGCAGAGCTGACAGGGAAGAAGAAGAAAGAAGAAGAAGAAGAAGAAGAAGAAGAAGAAGAAGAAGAAGAAGAAGAAGAAGAAGAAGAAGAAGAAGAAGAAGAAGAAGAAGAAGAAGAAGAAGAAGAAGAAGAAGAAGAAGAAGAAGAAGAAGAAGAAGAAGAAGAAGAAGAAGAAGAAGAAGAAGAAGAAGAAGAAGAAGAAGAAGAAGAAGAAGAAGAAGAAGAAGAAGAAGAAGAAGAAGAAGAAGAAGAAGAAGAAGAAGAAGAAGAAGAAGAAGAAGAAGAAGAAGAAGAAGAAGAAGAAGAAGAAGAAGAAGAAATCTCTTTTTTGAACACGCATATTAAAATAATTCACAACCGTTACCTCCCTCCTAGTCGTCCAAGCTCTTCCAGGACTGTGGAATGAGTGAAATTTTCGTGCACATAACATTCATGCTCAGCATAGGTCAACACTCAGGTCCGCACGACCAAAGAATAGTAACTGGTTAAGAATGTGATCCAAATGTGTGTGATCCGAATGAGAGTCCGTAATGGCTGCACAACTGATCAATATAGCTCTCAACTCAACCGCTAAGTTTGAAATCTTCATTGGTTCTCCTAATCGCGCTGCCCTCACACTTCCATCTACCACCACCAGTGGCTCACCAGACAATGCCGTAGGCGCCTCGGCCAATGGGGACGAGTGGGACGTAGCGCACGGGGACCTCGAATATGATTCCGTAGAAGCTGTAGCGTCTGTAGCGGCCGTCGTACGTCAGCGTGCCCTCCTTGGGTATTTGCACGCCGTCTGCCCCTTGTGACGCGTCCTCCTGCGTCATCGTCTCGTCCCCCTGCCGTGAAATGGATGAAATTAAGAGGGATTCATGAAGCTGTAGCGTCTGTAGCGGCCGTCGTACGTCAGCGTTCCTTCCTTGGGTATTTGCGACGCGTCGTCCTGATTCATCGTCTCGTCCTCCTGCCGCGAATCATAAAAAGCTAGTGAAATTGACTATTGAGAAGTCTGAAGGCTTGCGACGCGTCTTCCTGAAGCATCGTCTCGTCTTTCTGCTGCGAGATCGGACAGGAAATGGATGGTGAGAACGACATTTGAGACATGTCAGAGCCTAAGATTGGCATATCAGGGCCGGCATATCAGAATTTGTTCTCTTGGTGCATCGACTCCCTGCCGCGAGATGGATCAGTTAGGAAGGTATGCTGAGATTCTTTGAAACGAAATCATCCCCATTGTATAAACGTCGCGATTTAGCGGTCAAGATGCTTCCATCTTGCTAGCATAGCAGAGTCATTTTTTGAATTCAGCTGGAAATGTGCATCTTAGCTCATAACACACACGCTTCTGACAGGATTTTCTCTAGTTGCTTGAATCATAGTAATGATTTAGCGCCCCGGTATACGTCTGCGACTCTTAATACACCTGAAATGCGAGAGGGAATTCATGGGTGACAACATTGGGAAGGGCTAACCTGCGGCCGTAGTAGTTCGGAAGCCATTTCTGAGATGCCGTGAGATCGCAGGACACTTTTGAGTCGACTCAAAAGTCACCTTGCCGTGAGATCGCAGGACAAGGCACAACGACGAGCCTCGCTCTCGTTGTAAAAAGCGGGATGCAAAACGCTGAACCGTCTAGAAGCAATGCAGGTAGATGCTGGATGAAAATACGGCAATGGCGGCCTTCGGTAGAGACTGCTTCGCGAGTAGCTACCCAGAGGAGCAAGTGCTAGCTTACTCGTATGGACAATAAGGAGAAAATTTTGGCTGCAAACACTTTCTCCGTGACTAGCTAGTAACTACCAGCAACCTGCGAGCAAGTCCGGATGTGCGCAAATACGTGAGTCCGAAAAGTCTGGCTGAGGGAGATCCTCGCACAGGAAGGCCTATCCTGCCTCGAATCCCAAGAGGGGAGAGTCCCTAGGTTCTCTCCATTTTACCGTCTCAAAACGCAACGGAACTTACTGAACCGCAGGCCCTCGGTTAGGGGTCCCAGAGCTGGGTGAATGACATACACATGCAACTTTGGGGTAGAAAACCGTTTAGCGAGTTATCATATTGTATAGCGTATATGCCCGAGCCAAAGACGATTTGGAAGGGAACTGGCGAGCGCATGTGGGCCTGGCTTGGAGAGGCGGAGCCTCTCAGCGGTTGGTGTTTCTCTTCACCCTGCAAGGTGTGGGGTGGAAGCGAAGAGGGGTGAAGTGAAGGTGGTCGGGAAGGGGAGGTTTGGTTGGTGAAGAGGGTGGTTTGGGAGGGAGGGGTGAATGGTGTCGTTTCGAGGTTCGAGTCCAACCAACATCGCGTCCCCCCCACCCCCCACCCCACTCCCACCGCTCCACCCCCCTCCCCCGCCTGACTTCGTGGGAATCCCGGGAAATTATCGGACCACTTGAGCTCGAAATTATCGAGCCGCACCGCAACAGAACTCCAACCAGGGCCTTGCTGGACACGCCACGCCACACGACACGGTATCGCCGAGGACAACCTGACCTGACACACCTATTCCGGGCAGCCGCGAAAATAACGGTTTCCCTCCATTATCCAGCCAGCCAGTGGCGATCCGTGCCAGCGGGAGAGGAGTGTTTTCGGTCATGTTTCAGGGCAGGAAGTTCTAAAAAAACACCTGCTTGTCTCGCCACACCAACAGTCGTCTGTTTCCTTGACCGAATAAATAGCCTGTCTAAACTGAACCCTCGACTCACCCCATCCAATAATTCCCATATCCCATCCATTTCCCTCATCCATGGCCGCCTGTTTCCCTCTCTAACAGCCATGTCCCGTGCAATTATAGAAACGCGTTATGGAAGCGCGGTAGGTCCATTCCCTGCAATTGCTGTCACGCTTGTGATAGGTATTCCGCGTTAGATTCGTAAGCTGGCGTTATCCATCGTCTCCATCCCGTTTCTGCACAAGCATCAATAGCATTCCAGAAAGGCAAGCCTGGTTGGCTCGCCGGCATACGTGACGCACTACCACCGCAGCGTTCGACCGTTCCAGCCTAATCCTCAGCGTAGTGCTAGAGAAGCGATAACCTCCGAAACCGTGTAATTTCTGAGAGATTTCAAAAGCAACTCTAATACAGTCGCCTCTCAGAGAAGAAGTCATAAAGCAAATTCCGTGCTGCTCTGTTCGCGTTACCCCTGGTCCCCTTCATTTTCTTGGTACCCTCCGGACAACCTTTGTTCGCATTGACCTTGGTCCTGCCTAAGTTAACCTAAGTTATCACTTCAGACGTCTCAAAAGCCCTCGGTTCCCACCTAAGTTGAACGTACCACTCCATCCTTTCGACCTCGTCGCGTTTCCAGCGCGTATAATTTACGCTAATTTAACTCTGAATTCAAGCTCGCGAAAAGAAAGACCCTGCGAAGGCGCTTCGGCAATGGAGCGAGACAGACGTCTCCCCGAGCACGGCATCCCACCAGAGCCCCCAACGGTCGACGCCGCCGCCGCCTTACCCTCCCCAAGGGTCGACGGTGGGACGACTCCTGGCTCCTTCGCATCTGCGGAGCGCGCCCCGAGCACTTCCGGGATTTTCGAGCGCGGCTCCGGCTCCTCGGGAGGAGTGGTCGAGCGCACCGGCAGCACTTCCCTTTACACTCCCAGGTGGGCACGCGGGGCGGCGGGAGCGCCCGTACCCCCTTCCGCCATGGCCTCCGCGGCTGCCGCCGCAACAGCCGCCGCATCAGCCTCCGCGTCTGCCGCCGCCGCCGCCGCAGCAGCAGCAGCCGTGCCTGGTTCGGATCCAACCACTCCTAGCGGCCCGCTGACGGCTCCGTTAGACGTCAGTTTTACGTCCACTAATCCGCCCACTCCGTTAGGGTTTCAGCAAGGCTTTCCGGGTTTCCAGCCGCGGGATCCGGAGCGCGACAGGCGGAATCTGTCCATGGAAATGCCGGAGCCCCCCCCTCGGCGGAGGACCCGCCCGGCATCTTCCGCCATCTACCCCCGCCCCCACCCAATAGCTTCCCCCGGCGACGGCGCGGCGCACCGCGGAATGGGCAGCGACTTGAGCGGAGACGCGCGGCTGTGGTCCCCGTCGCAGCACCTCCAGCGCGGACGCATGCCGGAAGCCGCCTTCCCCAGTTACCGCCCGGGCGACAGCGGGATTCTTCGCGGCGGGAGGCGGCCTGGCGGGCCGATGTCCGGGCAGTTTCCCGGGCCGGGCATGGGAAAGTCGGGCATGATTGGCCAGTCGGGGCTGATCGGGCAGTCGGGAATGTTTCCGCCGCCATCGGCTATCCCCCAGTCGGGGTCGTGGGGCGGGACAGCACCGAACACGCCGAGCATACCGAAATCGAATATAGTGCAGAAATCGATGATCATGTGCATGGATCCGACGTGTAACAAGTGTCCCCCCGAGATGCACGCGCTTCGAAACCGCAAGCTTATGGCGGCCGCGATTGACGAGTTCCCGCAGCCGCTGGCGTCGAGAGACGGGCGCGGAGGGGGGAAGCGCGGGAGCGACGGGGTCGGGGACGGGGGAGGGGACGGCGGAGGACGTGGCGGAGGAGGATTGGACGATTTTGAGTATGATTTCGACGAGTTTGATTTCGAGGATGACGAGGAGTATGACGAGGAGACGGGCGGGAAGAGAACAATCATCCGCTGCTGCGGCCTGCCATGCTTTGTCTTCACCAGCCGGGTTCGTTCCTACCTAGCCCCCCGCTCCCTTCGAACCTCGCTCTCTCTCGCTCCCCTTTGAGTATGCATTCGACGAGTTTGATTCGGAGGAGGATGAGGAGTACTTTTGAGGTGCCTCAAAAGTCAAAAGTAGTCTTTTGAGGCGCCTCAATAGTGAGTATGATTTCGAGGATGATGAGGAGTATGACGAGGAGACGGGCGGGAAGAGAACAATCATCCGCTGCTGCGGCCTGCCATGCTTTGTCTTCACCAGCCGGGTTCGTTCCCAAACCCCCCCTCCCTTCAACCCCGCTTTCTTCCGCTGCCCTTATGAGAATACCCCGCTCTCTTTCGCTACCCAGCTCTCTTTCAAATAAGCATACCGATCTCGTACCCCCGCTCTCCCTCTCTCGTCCTCACATTTCCTCCGCTGTCCATGAACAATTACAATCATTCAACGTCCCCCCACTCCCCTCTCTCTTCCCCCCTTCCCTTCCCCAACTAGCCCGCTGTGGCACGGCAAGCGCCTGTCACCTATGCTGGGGTTCTACTAGTCTTTCAAAATCCTTCCCTTTCCCCCCATGCGCACCCCCTTCTTCCCGCCAGTCCTGATGTTTTGAGACGTCTCAAAACACTACTAGTCTTTCAAAACCCTTCCCTTCCCCCCCACGCACACCCCCTTCTTCCCGCCCGTCCTAATGGCAGGGCAAGCGCCGGTCGCCCATGCTGGGCTTTTTTAATCATTCAACACCCACCCCCTTACACACACCCCCTTCTTCCCGCCCGTCCTAATGGCAGGGCAAGCGCCGGTCGCCCATGCTGGGCTTTTTCCGGTTCGTGGAAGGGTTGGTGCAACCCGTGGGCATCCTCAACCCGCACTCCAGGTGGGGCTGTGGAGCATGTTTGCTTCCAGTGTATACGTGTATTTATATGCGTATGACTACCGTTTCCATGCTTGGGTTCTTCCGGTTCGTGGAGGGGTTGGAGCAACCCGTGGGCATTCTCAACCCGCACTCCGGGTGGGGCTTTGTTGCATGCTTCTGGCGTATATATGCATTCTATGTATGTATATGTGCACGAATATGCATCTGTCTATTTATGTATGTATATGCCTTATCCCTTGCCCACCTTTCCCAATTCAGGTTCGTGGCGCAGTGTAACAATTGGTTCATGGTCACGTGCATATATTCATTCACTGCCCTGCCTTGTGCTGTGCCCATCCGCCCCCCTATGCCCATCTCTCCCCCTTGCCTCCCCTTGCCCAGGTTCGTGGCGCAGTGGAACAAGTGGTTCATGGTGACGTGCATCTTTGGCTTCTGTATCGACCCATGGTTCCCCCTGTCCTGTCCCTGCCCCTATCCGTCCCCCCTTGCTTCCCCCGTCCACCACTCCCTACCGCCCCCCTCCCCAGGTTCGTGGCGCAGTGGAACAAGTGGTTCATGGTCACGTGCATCTTTGGCTGCTGTATCACCCCCTGGTTCCCCTGTCCTGTCTGTCTTGCTCCATCCGTTCCCCGTTGCTCTGCCCCCATTCTCCCCCTCCTCCCCACCCAGGTTCGTGGCGCAGTGGAACAAGTGGTTCATGGTGACGTGCATCTTTGGCTTCTGTATCGACCCATGGTTCCCCCTGTCCTGTCCCTGCCCCTATCCGTCCCCCCTTGCTTCCCCCGTCCACCACTCCCTACCGCCCCCCTCCCCAGGTTCGTGGCGCAGTGGAACAAGTGGTTCATGGTCACGTGCATCTTTGGCTGCTGTATCACCCCCTGGTTCCCCTGTCCTGTCTGTCTTGCTCCATCCGTTCCCCGTTGCTCTGCCCCCATTCTCCCCCTCCTCCCCACCCAGGTTCGTGGCGCAGTGGAACAAGTGGTTCATGGTCACGTGCATCTTTGGCTGCTGTATCACCCCCTGGTTCCCCTGTCCTGTCTGTCTTGCTCCATCCGTTCCCCGTTGCTCTGCCCCCATTCTCCCCCTCCTCCCCACCCAGGTTCGTGGCGCAGTGGAACAAGTGGTTCATGGTGACGTGCATATTTGGCTTCTGTATCGACCCCTGGTTCCTCTTCACGCTCCTCACCATGTTCTCGCCCTCCAAGGTATGTTTAAGTGCACGTGGTTACCAGCATGTGGCTCGTGGTTACCAACATGTGGTTACCATCTGTATCACCCACAGCACTGGCACTGCACTGACCCCTGGTTCCTCTTCACGCTCCTCACCATGTTCTCGCCCATTAAGGTACGCATCAAGACTACTGCCTGCCAGGTATCCCTGGTCTGGTCTGGTCTCGTCCATACCCTACTGTATCACCTGGTTCCGCTTCTGCATTTGTCCGTGCTTCCTGTTCACTCTCATTACCATGCCTGCGTGTTGCACATCAACTTTCCCCCTCCATCACACTCACAGTGTTGCTTTACGTTGTATCTCTAACCCCGCCCTCCTCTCACTCCCCCCCTTCTCACTCCCCACCTTTTCACTCCCCCCCTTCTCACTCCCCCCCTTTGTCATCCCCCGCTTCTCACTTCTTCACTCCCATCAGGTCACCCTGTGCCTAGACATCAACTATCCGGCTGCCATCACTCTCACCGTCATGCGTTCAATCGTTGATCTCATGTATCTCATCAACATATTCATACAGGTGCGTGTGGTTGACATGTTCATACATCATACATGCATGCATGCTCAAACCTCAATTGTGGATCTCATCAACATATTTATACAGGTGCGAGAGAAGCGTAAAGAGGTGAATCTAAGGCGATTCTTTGCTTGAGTAGCATGTATAGCTGGCCTCATCGCTCTCTCTGTCATGCGCTCACCTATGTGGAGAAAGACGCGTCCAGCGTCCTGGACGCATGCGTCCAGACGCATGCGTCCAGACGCTGGACGCTAGTTTAGGGCCCCCGAGACGCAGCAAAAGACGCAGGTCCGGGCAGCCAAAAAAAACCCCCCGGGCAGCCAAAAAAAAAGTTATAGGGCAGAGGGAAGAGGGGGTAAGAGGGGGGTGGGGGGGGGGGGGGGAACACACTTTCATAGCAAAATTTCTCCTCAACAACAAAATTTCAGCCACAACAATAGAACATGAAGGTGAGCCCCAAATTTCCATAATCACAATTAGTCCAAGGGTTGTTTAGCATGCATGCATACTACCACTAACTAACATGCATCACTCATCCTCCTCGCTCTCCATCCCCTTCTCCTCCTCCTTCTCCAAATCCTCCTGCTCCTTGTACTCGTCGAAGGTGAGGTCATCCTCATCCACCTCCACCTCTCCATCCTCCTCAAGCTTGTACCCCTCGGGAAGGGGTCGGGGGGGAATGTTCCCCTCCACTATTCCCGCCTTCCTGACTTCCCCACTCGGCCCCGCACCCGCCGCACCCTTGTGGTGGTTGTGCACAACGTTCCAGTTGTGCGCAACGAACACAAGGTCGCGAACACAAGGAGCTAGCCATAACGGTGGTGCGCGGAAAGGAGCTAAAACCACTAGGGTTTTTGAAAGAGAATTGGGTTGTGAGAAAAGGGAGCACAAATGAGAGGTTTCATGAACTAAATGGGCTTTGTGGGGGTGGTGGACCACAAAGGTTGGGTTTCCTAGTTGTGGAGTGGTGGAGAGGGGTTGGATTTCCAAATCAATTTTGCAAAAAGGGGAGGGGGTTAGGGGTGAATTAGATGGCTGGTTTTGGGGGTCGAATTTGCTTGGGGGGTGTCGAATTTCGGCGAAATTGACATTCGCGACGAAATCGCGAATGTCAATTTCGCGATCGCGAAAAAAAAAATTCTCGGTCTGCCCGAAAAATTTTCCAGGGTGCGTCCTGCGTCCGGACGCGCGTCCTGCGTCTTTGCGTCCGGACGCTGCGTCCGGACGCAGGACGCAGGGCTGCCCCAGCGTCTTTCTCCACATAGGCGCTCACTCGTGGACCTTATGTATCTCATCAACATATTTATACAGGTGCGTACAGCTCGTATCAAAACATATTCGTGCTTATGGAAACACAACTTGTTCAGCATGCGAGCATGGCAATTCTACAAGTACGTTCAACACTTACTACCAGCAAATACGTTAAAAAAGTACGTTTCACATATCATACTTCCAGCGCGCGTGAGCCATGAGGTTAATGAAACACTACCTATTCTCCTCCTGTCTCCCCTACCTATCACGCATCACTTGTTCTTCCTGCCTTCTCTTCATCCTCGCCCTCCAACACGCCGCACAACTTTCGTCTCCCTGTCCTTTCCCCCCCATCAGTTAAAAAAAAAAAAGTAACAGTCCCTCCCTCCCTCATTTTTCCCTCCCCTCCCCCATCAGTTCCGCATGGCCTACTTTGTCCCAGCGCCCAGCAACCGTTCCTACAGGTGGAGCTACCTGCGCTGGTGGTACGCCGAGAACTCTCAGCTCGCCATTTCAACAGTCATGACTTATTGCTCCTCCCTCTGAGCTGGCCCCATCCCCTCCGTTACCCCCTGCCCCCCCTCCCCCGTACCAGTTCCGCATGGCCTATTTCGTCCCGGCGCCCAGCAACCGCTCTTACAGGTGGAATTGCCAGCGCTGGTGGTACGCTGAGACCTCTCAGCTCGCCCTCCCAACAGTCATGACTCATTGGCCCCCCAATCCCCTCCCTTGCCCACTCCCCATCTCCCCACATACAAGTTCCGCATGGCCTATTTCGTCCCAGCGCCCAGCACCCGCTCCTACAGGTGGAGCTGCCTGCGCTGGTGGTACGCGGAGCCCTCTAAGCTCACTTCCCCAGCAGTCTTGACTTGTTGCCCCCCACATCCCTCCCTTACCCATTACCCATCCCCCCCCCCACCCCCCCTCTCCTACCAGTTCCGCATGGCCTATTTCGTCCCGGCGCCCAGCAACCGCTCCTACAGGTGGAGCTGCCTGCGCTGGTGGTACGCTGAGGCCTCTCAGCTGGAACCGGGGGACATGGAGACGGACACGAGGGTGATTGCCATTCGATACCTCAAGTCCTGGTTCCTCGTGGACCTCGTCTCGACCTTCCCCATCCCCCAGGTGAGTGGGATTGGTATTCTGCCCTGGTAGGTAAGAGGCGTGTGAACCCATTTCATGCCTGGGAGCCTGCCCCGGGCACCCCTCTCAGCTGGAACCGGGGGACATGGAGACAGACACGAGGGTGATTGCCGTTCGATACCTCAAGTCGTGGTTCCTGGTCGACCTCGTCTCCACGTTCCCCATCCCCCAGGTGAGTGGGATAGGATTGATTTGCTCGTCCATGTAAGGCTGGTGGTACGCTGAGCCCTCTCAGCTGCCCCTGGCGGGGGGACATGGAGAGAAACACGAGGGTCATTCATCGCCATGCGATACCTCAAGTCCTGGTTCCTCGTGGACCTCGTATCCACGTTCCCCATCCCCCAGGTGAGACGTTCAAGGTAAGGGATTCCGTAGGTAAGAGGCCTTTAAGTGCTGTGCTGCCCACCCACTCTGAGTTGGCCCGGGGGGACATGGAGACAGACACGAGGGTGATTGTCATTCGATACCTCAAGTCCTGGTTCCTCGTGGACCTCATCTCGACCTTCCCCATCCCCCAGGTGAGATATTCCTCTTTCCAGGCAAGGTAGTTCCAAGGTAATACGCCTTTGAGTGCAACCCACTCACTGCAGAAGACCCCGGGGGACACGGAGACAGACACATGCGCCATTGCCGCTGGATACCTCAAGACCTGGTTCCTCGTGGACCTCGTCTCCACCTTCCCCATCCCCCAGGTGAGATATTCCTCTTTCCAGGCAAGGTAGTCCCAAGGTAATACGCCTTTGAGTGCAACCCACTCACTGCAGAAGACCCCGGGGGACACGGAGACAGACACATGCGCCATTGCCGCTGGATACCTCAAGACCTGGTTCCTCGTGGACCTCGTCTCCACCTTCCCCATCCCCCAGGTGAGATATTCCTCTTTCCAGGCAAGGTAGTCCCAAGGTAATACGCCTTTGAGTGCAACCCACTCACTGCAGAAGACCCCGGGGGACACGGAGACAGACACATGCGCCATTGCCGCTGGATACCTCAAGACCTGGTTCCTCGTGGACCTCGTCTCCACCTTCCCCATCCCCCAGGTGAGATATTCCTCTTTCCAGGTAAGGTAGTCCCAAGGTAATACGCCTTTGAGTGCAATCCACTCACTGCAGAAGACCCCGGGGGAAACGGAGACAGACACACGGGCCATTGCCGCTGGATACCTCAAGTCCTGGTTCCTCGTGGACCTCGTCTCCACCTTCCATTTCTTCCAGGTGTGTGGGACACTCAAGGTACAGTATTTCCGAGGTATGAGGCCTTCAGATGTTGCCCACTCACAGCTGGCCCCGGGGGACATGGAGACAGACACGAGGGTGATCGCCATTCGCTACCTCAAGTCCTGGTTCCTCGTGGACCTCGTCTCCACCTTCCATTTCTTCCAGGTGTGTGGGACACTCAAGGTACAGTATTTCCGAGGTATGAGGCCTTTAGATGTTGCCCACTCACAGCTGGCCCCGGGGGACATGGAGACAGACACGAGGGTGATCGCCATTCGATACCTCAAGTCCTGGTTCCTCGTGGACCTCGTCTCGACATTTCCAATCCCCCAGGTGAGCGGGATAGGATTGATATGCTCGTCCAGGTAAGGCTGGTGGTACGCTGAGCCCTCTCAGCTGCCCCCGGCCGGGGGACACGGAGACGGACACACGGGCCATTGCCACTGGATACCTCAAGTCCTGGTTCCTCGTGGACTCGTCTCCACCTTCCATTTCTTCCAGGTGTGTGGGACACTCAAGGTACAGTATTTCCGAGGTATGAGGCCTTTAGATGTTGCCCACTCACAGCTGGCCCCGGGGGACATGGAGACATGGAGACACAAGTCCTGGTTACACAAGGGTTGTCGCTACAGAGACCTCAAAGTCCTGGTTCGTTGTTGACCTTTTGTCCACCTTCCCCATCCCCCAGGTAAAGGTCTGAGCCCTGTTGGCCCACCTTCTCCCCCCAACCCCCCACTGGCAGCAATGCCTTTGGCCTTTTGAGTCGACTCAAAAGTCTTCTCCCCCCAACCCCCCACTGGCAGCAATGCCTTTGGCCCGTATTCCCCCTGATATGGTACTCCCCTTTCGAGAATTCTCAAGAGTGACGTAATGACTTTTGAGTCGACTCAAAACGAGGTGACTTTTGAGTCGACTCAGAAGTCTTCTCCCCCCAACCCCCCACTGGCAGCAATGCCTTTGGCCCGTATTCCCCCTGATATGGTACTCCCCTTTCGAGAATTCTCAAGAGTGACGTAAGGTCGAAACCGTTGAACGCCTTTTCATGTTTAATGCCTTCTTCCCTCGCCTTCCTCACTTCCTCTTCCCCCCGCACCATCAGATCTTCATCCTAGGGATCGTCCCAGCGCTGGGCAAGCGCGTCTCCACAGCAGCCAACACGTGGATCGCTGTCCTCACCCTCCTCGCGCTCTGCATTCAGAACATCCCCCGTGCCGCGCGCTTCTTCCCGCTGCTGGCGGGCACGGCGCCGCATGTGACGGGCTTTGTGTTTGAGACCGCGTGGGCCAATTTCCTCCTCAACCTGGTTTTCTATCTGATGGCCTCCAACTTCGTGGGAGGAGTGTGGTACATCCTGGCTGTCGATGTGAGTGCCTGCCATGTGTGATCAGTCGAGTTGAGTCGAGTTTTGAGTCGACTCAAACTCGACTTATCACACCTGATGGCTGTCGATGTGAGTGCCTGCCATGTGTGATCAGTCGAGTTGAGTCGAGTTTTGAGTCGACTCAAACTCGACTTATCACACCTGATGGCCTCCAACTTCGTGGGAGGAGTGTGGTACATCCTGGCTGTCGATGTGAGTGCCTGCCTTCTTTCCCCTTCCCTCCCCTTCCTCTCCTTCCGTCTCCTGCTGCCGTGCTGTTGGTGTGAGTGAGTGCGAGTCCTCCTTCCCCGTGCTGCCCGCTTCCAAACGAAGGAAACGGATAGAAAGCTGCAAGCTCGGTTGACCGACCTAACTAATCTGAGTAGAAAAGTTCACTGAGTACTAGGCGAGAACACGTGTAGGTAAGCGTAGTAGTATTAAAAGGCAGATTACAAGTGGTTCAGAAAACGTACGCGCGTTTCGGCTTTGTGGGCCTTCATCGGCTTTGCTGTTGGTGTGAGTGAGTGCGAGTCCTCCTTCCCCGTGCCGCCCGCTTCTTCCCGCTGCTGGCGGGCACGGCGCCGCACGTGACGGGCTTTGTGTTTGAGGCCGCGTGGGCCAACTTTCTTCTTGAACCTCGTGTTCTACCTCATGGCGTCTAACTTCGTCGGAGGGGTCTGGTACATTCTTGCTGTCGATGTGAGTGCTGCCCTCCTTGTTTCTCTCCTCCCTCCCTCCCTCCCTTCCTCCCTTCCTACCTACCTCTAGTCTTGCAACACTAATGCCCATGTCGTACCCTCTCACTCACTCCCTGTCCTTCTCTCCTCTTCTCTCCTCCCAACACTCCCTTCGGGCCTTTTCCCGTCCTCCCTCCCACCAGCGTTTCAGCGAGTGCCTGCAAAACGTCTGTGCCAACACCAAGGGCTGCAACCCCACCTACCTCTACTGCTCCAACACCAACGCCCCAGTCACTGTCTTACCCTCTCTCTCCGTTCCCTTCTATCCTCTCCTCCTTCTCTCCCTCACCAGCGCTTCAGCGAGTGCCTGCAAAACGTCTGTGCCAACACCAAGGGCTGCAACCCCACCTACCTCTACTGCTCCAACACCAACGCCCCAGTCACCACCGTCGCCTCTGCGGACCTCTTTTCACCGCAGTACACCGGCACGAACGTCACCACATGCCTATACTCCCCTGGGGAGGACAGCAAAACGGAGTCGCCCATCCCGTACGGGGTGTTTGCGAATGCCATCCCGCTCACGGCAAGCCGGGACGTGGTCTCAAACTACCTCTACTCCTTCTTCTGGGGTTTGCAGGTGAGCCAATCGTGCTTTAGTGCTGAAGCATCACATCACAATAGAAGGGCTCACCTCCCCCATCCCGTACGGGGTGTTTGCGAATGCCATCCCGCTCACCTCAAGCTGGGACGTGGTCTCAAACTACCTCTACTCCTTCTTCTGGGGCCTGCAGGTGAGCTGATGATAGCACACGGCAGCTGTTCGGCCCTTGCTGGGTCTGTCTCACGTATTTATCACCCGTAGCATCATAGGAGGAGGGACTCGGACGAATCCCTCAGACGAATCCCCGCGAGATCCGGACATGGCTCGGTGAGCTGCGTACGTGCAGTAGGCTTAAGCAAAGGAAAAAACAGCAGTAGATTTCCGCTCTGTGTACAACTAAGTGCTCAAAACGATCTCAGCAGGGACTCGGACGAATCCCTCAGACGAATCCCTCAGACAAATCCCTCAGACAAATCCCGCTAACCTCGAGCCGAGGCCGAGTCCCAAACTACCTTCACAAACCGCTCTCTCACTCCACTCATATTCCCTTCCCCCCCACTCTCTCTCTTGTCGCCCCTCTCCCTTACTCCCTTCCTCTCCTTTCCTCCTTTCCCCTGCCAATCATCGCAGCAAGTGAGCACGCTGTGCGGCAACCTGGTGCCATCGCGGTGGGATGTGTTTACTTTTGAGGCGCCTCAAAAGCCGTCGCGGTGGGATGTGGAGGTGCTATTCGTCGTCGTCATAACGACACACCCCCGAACCTTCCCCTCTTCCCCTTACCATCCCCCCTTCCACCACAGCAAGTGAGCACGCTGTGTGGCAAGCAGCCTGGTGCCATCGCGGTGCGATGTGGAGTATTTTTGAGAATTCTCAGAGTATTTTTGCAGAGTATTTTTGAGAATTCTCAGAGTATTTTTGCAGAGTATTATTGAGAATTCTCAGAGTATTTTTGCAGAGTATTTTTGAGAATTCTCAGAGTATTTTTGCAGAGTATTTTTTAGAATTCTCAAAAATACTCTCCATCCCCCCTTCCACCACAGCAAGTGAGCACGCTGTGTGGCAAGCAGCCTGGTGCCATCGCGGTGCGATGTGGAGGTGCTGTGTATGTTTTTGGAGAACTCTCAAAAAACATATTCTCAAAAAGAATTCTCAAAAAGCACCCACTGCAACAAAGCCCTACCACCATCTCCCTTCTCAACCTTACTCCACTCCTCGCCTCCCCTCGTCTCCCTCCAATCCCCCGCAGCAAGTGAGCACGCTGAGTGGCAATCTGGTGCCGTCACGGTGGGACGTGGAGGTGCTATTCATCGTCGTCGTCACCATCATCCCTTCCCACCCTTACTCCCCTCCTCTTCGTTTTTCACCTCCCCTCATCTCCCCCACAGCAAGTGAGCACGCTGTGTGGCAACCTCGTGCCGTCGCGGTGGGATGTGGAGGTGCTGTTCGTCATCGTCGTCACCATCATCGGCCTGCTGCTGCTCGCTCTCCTCATTGGCAACATCTCCAACTACCTGCAGTCACTCAACAGAAGGTCAGTGCAGTCCCACGTGTGGTTATCCCAGATGCCACTCGTGTAGCAGCTTTATCCCAATCACCACAATCATCGGCCTGCTGCTGCTCGCTCTCCTCATCGGCAACATCTCCAACTACCTGCAATCGCTCAACAGAAGGTCAGTCGTTTGGGGACGTGAGCGGGTTTATGGATACCAATGTTGTGGTTACCACACAAGCTAGTGGTAACCATAATCAGCCTGCTGCTGCTTGCTCTCCCCTTCGGCAATATCTCCAACTACCTGCAATCTCTCAACAGAAGGTAGGTGGGAAGGGTAGAGCCAACACAAGTTGTCACTGGGTTACCAGGAATGTTCGGTAAGCAGTTACCACACAAGTGACAGTTGCAGCGCCATGACATTGACCCGTGTTGCTACTCACCTTCCTTCCCCCATCTTCCTCCCTTCCTCCCTCCTCTCCTCCATAGGTCCTTTGAGTACCAGTTGCAGCGGCATGACATCGACTCATGGATGACTCTTGACTCTACTCTCCAATCTCTCTTCGCCGGTCGTTTCTTCCCCCTCCTCTCACTCTCCTCTCCCTTTCGCTCCACAGGTCCTTTGAGTACCAGCTACAGCGCCACGACATCGACTCATGGATGCAGCGCAGGAACCTTTGCGATGCACACGCTAGCGGTGCCATGCGTCAACCTCTCTCCCCTTCTCGTCCTTTCCCCCTCCTCCCCACTCCACAGGTCCTTTGAGTACCAGCTACAGCGCCACGACATCGACTCATGGATGCAGCGCAGGAACCTTTGCGATGCACACGCTAGCGGTGCCATGCGTCAACCTCTCTCCCCTTCTCGTCCTTTCCCCCTCCTCCCCACTCCACAGGTCCTTTGAGTACCAGCTACAGCGCCACGACATCGACTCATGGATGCAGCGCAGGAACCTTTGCGATGCACACGCTAGCGGTGCCATGCGTCAACCTCTCTCCCCTTCTCGTCCTTTCCCCCTCCTCCCCACTCCACAGGTCCTTTGAGTACCAGCTACAGCGCCACGACATCGACTCCTGGATGCAGCGCAGGAACCTTCCTGTTGACCTCCAAAAGTAGGTTTCCTTCTTACAACCTTCCCGTTGACCTCCAGATGTAAGCTTCCCAGAACCTTCTGATGCTTTCCAGCACTTAGATTGGAGGGGCTAGGTTTGTGAGCGTCTATGGTTTTGAACAATGCTTTTGTCGTCTTAACCCAAACGCTATTCACATTTCAACCTGTTGACTCCATTCACTTTCCCTCCTCACATGCAGGCGCAGCTGCGGTTGCAGTGGGCGGCGACTAGAGGGGTGGGCGAGGCAGATCTGCTGGACAGCCCTTCACATGCACCCTTGTTGACCCTGTTGACCCTGTTGACTCTGTTGACTTGAATCCCTCTCCCCCCACACAGGCAGGTGCAGGCGCAGCTGCGGTTGCAGTGGGCGGCGACTAGAGGCGTGGACGAGGCAGAGCTGCTGGACAGTTTCTCGGACTCCATTCAAATTGACCTCCGCCGCTCGCTGTGCCTCGAATTACTACAATGCGTGAGTCCCATTGTACTGCTGTCAGGTAAGAAACTGTACAGTACAGTGTGGTACGGTACGGTACGATATGATGTGGTGGACGAAGCAGAGCTGCTGGACATTTTCTCAGACTCCATTCAAATTGACCTCCGCCGCTCGCTGTGCTTGGAGTTACTGCAATGCGTGAGTTCTGTGTGGTTTGAAACGGTACAGTACGGCACGGTACGGTACGGTATCGTATGGTCTTGTATGATAGGGTGTGAGGCAGAGCTGCTGGACAGTTTCTCGGACTCCATTCAGATTGACCTCGAGCTGCTGCAATGCGTGAGTAACGGTGTGGTGTTGTCTGGTGTGGTGTGGTCTGGTGTGGTGTGGTTTGGTATGGCAAGTGGGAGGAGCAGAGCTGCTGGATAGTTTCTCACACTCCATCCGGGCTGATGGTCTCGCTGCTGCAATGCATGAGTAGTGAGTTGACTTTTGAGTCGACTCAAAAGTCTTCTCACACTCCATCCATCCGGGCTAATATTGGCTGCTGCGGTGCGATGCTCAAAAGTCGACTCAAAAGTCGACTCAAAAGTCGACTCAAAAGTCGACTCAAAAGCTGCTGCGAGTTTGAGTGCTTCTCCACGTTCGGGACCTCCCCTCTCTCCCCTGAACCCCATCCCCCTTTTTTCAAGAAGCGGTTACCCCGGTTTCCAACACCCCTCTCCTTTCTCCCTCCTTCTCTCCTCCCCCCTATTCCGCCCCTCCGCCTCCCCCCAACCTGCCACCAGTCGGTGCTCTTCTGTGCCCCCCACTCCTCCTTCTCCCCTCTCCCCCCCTCCCCTACCTCTGCAGTCGGTTCTCTTCTGTGCCATGGAGCCACCAGTGCTCGACGCCTTCTGTGTGCGCCTGCAGCAGCAGATCTACACAGCGGGCTCCATGATCATACGAGAAGGCTACCCCGTCTCGCGCATCTTCTTTGTCCTCCAAGGCGAGCTTGAGAGCTCGAGAGCTTCTCAACCTTCGGCACCTCCCTTTTCTCCCGTGATCCTCACTCCCTCTCCTCCCCTCTCCCTCCCCACTCCTCCTTCTCCCCTCTCCCCCCCTCCCCTCCCTCTGCAGTCGGTTCTCTTCTGTGCCATGGAGCCACCAGTGCTCGACGCCTTCTGTGTGCGCCTGCAGCAGCAGATCTACACAGCGGGCTCCATGATCATACGAGAAGGCTACCCCGTCTCGCGCATCTTCTTTGTCCTCCGAGACGAGCTTGAGAGCTCGAGAGCTTCTCAACCTTCGGCACCTCCCTTTTCTCCCGTGATCCTCACTCCCTCTCCTCCCCTCTCCCTCCCCACTCCTCCTTCTCCCCTCTCCCCCCCTCCCCTCCCTCTGCAGTCGGTTCTCTTCTGTGCCATGGAGCCACCAGTTCTCGACGCCTTCTGTGCGCGGCTGCAGCAGCAGATCTACACAGCAGGTTCAATGATCATACGGGAGGGCTACCCCGTCTCGCGCATCTTCTTTGTCCTCCGCGGCGAGCTCGAGAGCTTCTCAACGTTCGGCGGGCACACGGGGATGGTGGACACTGTGGTGCTGGGCAAGGGGGACTTTCTGGGGGAGGAGCTGCTGGTGGAGTGTCTTGAAAGGCTCTCTGCTGCCAGTGGGAGGAGCTCGGGGCGATCCCTCACCATGCGAAGATGTGAGTATCGGTGGGAAGCTCTGGGTGTGAGGAGATGTGAGTATCTCTGTTTTTCGTTCTTGTTTTCTCGTTCCCCATTCCCTCTCCCCCCAGCCATCAGTAGACGTGCTGCCCACGGCCCAACCCTCAATTCCATCTTCCCTATCCCCCATACCCGCTCCTTATTTCCCCCCAGCCATCGCAGCGACCCCATCGCTCACCAGCTCCGCCAACCTCTCCCACCCATCAGTAGACGTGCTCCCCAGGCGCAACCCTCGCTTTCTTCTCTCATACTCCCCCATCTCCAAACCCCAACCCCCCGCTTCCCCACCCTCCCGCCCCCCAGCCATCGCAGCGACCCCATCGCTCACCAGCTCCGCCAACCTGTCCCAGCCATCGGTAGACGTGCTCCCCACGGCGCAGCGCTCGGTGCGCTGCCTGGGGCCCGTCGAGGGGTACTCGCTGGAGGCTGCTGACGTGGCATCTGTGTGCAAGCAGTTTGCACGCATGCTCTGCACCAACACCATTCAGCGCGCCCTCAAGTGAGCTTCTTTCTTTCTTTCTTTCTTTCTTTCTTTCTTTCTTTCTTTCTTTCTTTCTTTCACACTTTTTTGTTTGTTGTTTTTTGTTTTTGTTGTTTGTTTGTTGGTTTTTTTCTTTCACACCTTTTTTTGTGGAATGCCAGATGTGTGCACAGCTCATCACTTTCCTCAAGTGTGTGTGTGTGTGTGTTTTTCTTTTTTTTTTTGCACACAATTGTGTTTTTTCAGCACAAAAATGCAGATTTCTAATCGCCTTTACGTTGTGCGCTCTATTTGCCAAATTGACTGTGTTTTTATTTTCCCCTTCCCTCCCCAACCCTTCCCCATCCCTGCTTCCTTCTAATCATCACCAGCGAAATATGCCACAACAGACGAACGCACGCCGCCCGCACAATCCAGCTGGCGTTCCGCCGGTACTTGAGACGAAAGCTCGGTCTCTCTGTAGAGGATGTATTTAAAGCGGTCAGAAACAGGCGCATGGCAGCGGTGCTTAACAAAGCTCAGGAGATAAGAGCTAATAGTGCGCTCAATGGTACTGCTGCTGCTGCCGCTGCTTTGTCCGTTGCTGCTGCTGGGAGTGCGAGTGTGGCCGCGAGTGGGAGGAGCAGTGGTTCTGAGAAGGCAAGGGGGGAGGAGGAGAAAGGGGAGAAGGGAGAAGGGAAGGTGAGGTTTGCTGTGGATAAAGGAGACAGCGGCCGTGATAAAAAATCAGAGTGAGTATAGATGGATGTCCCTCTCCTTACTAAATATGGCGCCACGACTTACTAGGACAATGGTTGAGTGTTGAACCATTGAGTCATGGACTGACTGTTCAGTGTGCATAAATTATTGCACTGGTCTGCAATTTTGAGTTGCCTAATTTGCGCCTTCAGAGGTTAACATGTTTGCGTACTATAGGGTGCACTATATTCTATGCTTAGCCGTACAGCGGCTCTCACTGAGGCGAGTTTACTGGAAGGGCGCCATGTCATTCGACGACGAAGCGCTTTTCTTCAGTAAGCGACAAGCTGGAACTAATTGTGGACCGTCAGCGACAGCTCGGTTCATCGCAAGCACACATCAGCCAGTAAATTACCGCCACAATTTCGGTCGCCAGCTACACACATTATCGTAAAAGGTGAGAAATGAGCAGTGATTGGTTAATTCGTGGCCGACGAATCGTTTTGTACGTCGGCGATTAGCATAAGCGTGGGTGGGGGAAGGAAACGGAGGGTGTTTGGAGGGGAAAGGGGAAATTGGTGACGAGGGAGCACCTGTGCGATGCTGCTGGTGCATTTCGCTGGTACTCGTATGGCCACACGTGGAATCGCACGATGAATGATTGTCGTCGCGCAATTCGTGTCCCCTCGCTTTGGTATCGCCTGCTTCACCCCACTTTTGCAGAGAAGGGAGGAGGAGCGGGAAGGGAATATAGGCGGGCGAATCGCCGGCAATACCGTGGGTGGGGGATGTATAGCAGAACTGGGGCCGATGCAAGGGGCGCAAAATGGCAAGGGGTGCAGAAATGGGCGATTTGAAAACAGACGGAACGGAAACCATCTGCCCAAGCGGGTCAACTATCGCCACCAGCAGCAGCGCCAATCCAATGGCCCTCCCTCCCGCCCTGCCCGAAACACCCAGCGACCAACCAACAACCCAAGCAACCAGCAAAAGCATCAGCCATGAGCAAGGAGCACTAGCGACCGCGGATGCACTGCGCGACGAGGGAAAACACGAAACGAACTTTTCAAAAAACAACTCGAGTGTGCGAGGAAGGGATCATCTTCCCCCCTTCGTTCCAGAAACGTGGCCTCTGAGGGGAGTAGGAAGCAGCAGCCCTGCTAGTGTACACTGGCCGACTCACCGCCATGGCCACAGTTCCCGCGTCGCACGTCGTTCGCGCACGAGGTGCTTCGTCCGTGCCGTCCTCGCGCATTAGGGTAACCAGCTCGTCGTCCGAAGCCTCCTTTCGCGAAGCGTCGCATGGCCCATATCTCCCGCCCCGCACCCGTCGATTAAAGCCTTTAATCGCTATATCCTCCGAACCTAGCCATTGCACGTTGCGAACATCCCAGCCACTCAAGAGCCGCCACGTGGCGTCATCTCGACTTTCAGAACCCGCAGTGCGAGTTTCACTGCCGATAACGAACGGCAGGGATGCTCCCGAAGCGCGTAGCCCCTTAATATCAGTGGAAAAGTTCCCGATAGTAAAATCAGCATCAGTAGAGTCAGCTACCTTCGATGCCAATAGCGTACTTATAAAGGCTAATAGCGGGGATATCGGCGCACCGTCATCACGCGTCGTTTCGTCCCGCGTTGAGGCTTATAGCGGGGATCGCGATGTCAGCCACATGAAAGTTTACCCTGATATTGGAACACATCAGGACACCAGGCCAACCACTTTAGTCACAGCCGTGCGTCGTGTACTCGGGCAATGGCGGGACGAACTTTCGCGGAAGATGCATTGCGACACCGTAGGCTCCTCCTCTTCTTCTTCTTCTTCCTCCTCCTCCTTTACGCTCCCTTCCCATTCTCCGGAATCGACGGTTCCTGTTTTCCGGCAATCGGCGGCCTCTGATTGGCGGAAACTGGCCGCGTCAGCGTCGATCGCGATGTTCCTCCTCTCCTCCTCCCCAAATCCCGCGCTCGCTTACGTGGCGGCGCCTCCGCGCACGCTTTCCCAAGATGAGATCGCGACCGTCCGATTGTTCAAAGAGACCACCCCATCCGTCGTGAACATCACGAATCTCGGCGTGGGTCGCGACGCGCTGACGCTCGACGTGCTGGCGCCGCAAGGGTCGGGGAGCGGGTTCATATGGGACGAGATAGGACACATCGTTACCAACTACCACGTGATTGCTAACGCCGCGGACCTCAGGTGAGGTCACGACCCCATATGATCGTAGACTTGCTGGGTCAGTGGACGGGCGGATGTGAGAGGGATGGTGATGACGAGATAGGACATATCGTGACCAACTACCACGTGATCGCCAATGCTGCTGACCTCAGGTGAGTGGATGGGTGGAATGCGGTGGAATAAGAACTTGGCAGCAGTGAGCGTGCGTGAGTGTCACGGTGCTGGCGGTGCCGCAAGGGTCGGGCAGTGGGTTCATATGGGACGAGGCGGAACATATCGTGACCAACTACCACGTGATCGCCAATGCCGCTGATCTTAGGTGAGCTCGCAACCTCAGGTGGAGAGACACGTCGGTGATAGGGAATTGGCGTGAGAGGCGCAAGGGTCGGGGAGTGAAGGGTCGGGGAGTGAAGGGTCGGGGAGTGAGTTCATATGGACGAGTCACGAGATGGGGCACATCGCAACGAACTGCCACATCGTCACGAAATGCCAGTGCTGCTGATCATCGCTTTTCCCCTCATCTACTCCCACACAGAGGAACCCTTTCGGACTCCTCAGCGCATGCAGCGGTGGTGGTGGGGTGTGACGAGGACGAGGACGTGGCAGTGCTGGGAATCAACCTTCCTCTTCTCATATTACATTCCTTGTCCCCTGTGTGTGTGACTGACTGCAATCCATCCACCACACACACGGTCACCCTCTCGGACTCTTCAGCGCATGCAGCGGTGGTGGTGGGCTGTGGCGAGGACAAGGACCTGGCAGTGCTGCTGATCGCTTCTCAACCCTCCGCTTCCCTTCCCTTCCTCCATTCCTCACCCGTTCACTCAGAGTCACACTCTCAGACTCTTTAGTGCATGCAGCGGTGGTGGTGGGGTGTGATGAGGACAAGCATGTGGCAGTGCTGCGAATCAACTCTCAATTTCTCCCCGCTCTCCACTCTCCCCATCACTTCCATTCCTTTTATGTCCGCACATTGCGTCAGAGTCACACTTTCAGACTCCTCGGTGCATGCAGCGGTGGTGCTGGGGTGCGATGAGGACAAGGACGTGGCAGTGCTTCTGTTTGCCTCTCAACCTCTCCCACCTCCCCCTATCTTCCCTTCCTTATGGCACCCACACACTCAGAGTCACACTCTCAGACTCCTCGGTGCATGCAGCAGTGGTGGTGGGCTGTGACGAGGACAAGGACGTGGCAGTTCTGCGAATCGACGCCCCTCAGGAGTCACTCCACCCGGTTACCATCGGATCGTCGTCAGATTTGATGGTCGGGCAACGGGTCTTCGCCATTGGTAACCCCGTGAGTCACACACTTAACCCCCCCTTCACTTACTCACTCCACCCTCCCCCCCTCTCTCTCCCCCACCTCATCTCTCCTGTTCTGCATGATCCTTGGTCCCGTATACCAGTCATTTACCAAGAGGAGCCATAGATTCCAAGAATCTCACCCCGTTGTGCTTGGTCCTTGCTTGTGTGTCTTTTTCTTCACCGTTTGGGCTCGACCACACGCTCACATCAGGCGGCTCTTGAGACGGCTCAAAAGCCCTACAATCCCCCCACCCCCTTCCCTCCCCCTTCCCCCCTTGGCCCTTGCTTGTGTCTTGTTCCCCACAGTTTGGGCTCGACCACACTCTCACATCAGGCGTCATCAGGTCAGTGTAATGTAACTAACGAGTATCAGGTCCGTTTGTATAGGGACGCCCGCAAGCCTAGATTCTCGTCACTTGTTTTACCTTTAAGCTCCCGGAAGGCTATGCAACTGACATGCTATTTCCTTCTTCATCTTCTCCCTTCATAGCAGCCTTGAAACACTTTCTTTTATCCACTCTCTTTCTTCCTCATAATCAACCTTTCTCCTTCCCTTTCTCTCCTCCACCTCCTCCGGCCTCCATCATCCATCTCACCAGCGGTTTGAGGAGAGAGATCCAATCAGCAGCAACAGGGCGGCCAATACAGGGGGTGATACAAACGGATGCTGCTATAAATCCGGGCAACAGCGGTGGGCCTCTTTTGGACTCTAGTGGCAGTCTAATCGGCATCAATACGGCTATATATTCACCCTCGGGTGCTTCTTCTGGTGTCGGATTTGCCATTCCTGCCGACAGTGTGAGTCATGCTGACTGTGCCTATAGCGAGATGCGCTAGTCGAGAGTGCAGTCCTTCACATGGCTATAAAATCACCCTCCGGCTGGGACTTTTTTATGACGCAAAAGCTTACCTCCCATTGAAGAACAGTCATTCCCCTCCTTCCACCCTCACAACCGCCTCCCTCCCCTCGTGCTCTGTTCCCCCTCCCCCTCTTCAGATCAGCGGCATCGTGGAGCAGATAATAGAGAATGGGAGGGTGGTGCGGCCGGTGCTGGGGATCTCCTTTGCGCCCGAGAAGGCGGTGGAGAAGCTGGGCGTTGACGGGGTGCTCGTGCTCGATGCCCCACCCTCTGGGCCCGCAGGCAAAGCCGTGAGTTCCTGTGTACAGTGGCTGTAGCTTATTTTATATCAAATTCTTTTGCTGCTGGGCATCTCCTTTGCTCCCGAGGAGGCAGTGGAGGAGCTGGGCGTTAATGCGGTGCTCGTGCTCGACGCCCCTCCCTCTGGGCCCGCAGGCAAAGCCGTGAGTGTATCGTAATCATCGGGAACTGTGGCTGATGCATAAAATATATGGCGGTGTTGGCCAAATTCTTTCCAGTTTCTCTTGCACATACTGGCAAGTTTCCCTGGTTTGCCTCTCAGTCTTTTTCATCCCGACAATTTTCTTTTCATCCCCATCAGGGTCTCCGGCCAACATCTAGGGACAACTATGGTCGGCTGGTATTGGGGGACATTATAACTGCCATAGACAACCACAAAGTGCGAAGCGGAACAGATCTTTATCGGGCACTTGATGATTGCCAAGTGGGAGACACGGTAAGCTCATGAGCAACATTTGATGTGTTGCATTTTTACGCGCATGCATTTTTCACTGAAGTCTGCGATGCTATAATTTGTGTGCAGGTTGCTGTCACAGTACTGAGGGGGGGTCAGGAGGTGAAAGTGAATGTAGTTCTAGAGGCAAAGGACTAGATGTCAGCATTGTGACACCTTGTCGCCATATGTATATTAGCGTTTGCAACTTAACGAAATATTTTTATACTGTTGGGCAGTATGCGTAATATATGCTGTACACCTACGATAGCTTTGCGGTGATGTATTTTGTGCTTTGGCGATGTCCAAAATCATTGGGTAAGTAGCTTTGGCAGGGCTTAGACTAGCGACTCTGCACTTTGAGGGGGACTACAGTGCAAGTAGAGGGCACTTTCCACCCCTCCGTGCCTCAGACAGAGAAGTTATAGAAACAGGGCAGGGCACTTCCCCACATTCACCCACGTGTCAACAATTTCCATGCCACCTACTGTACTGGACATCTGACCAACTGTGCGCAACAGATTTTTGTCCCTTCTGCAAAATCGAATCCACAATCTGGGTGGCTCGGCTGCCACACTGTTCCGAAATCTGCTAGGCTACTGTTTCGCGCCCAAATTTTCGGAACGCAGGCCATCAAGGCAGACGGAAACGAAAACGGAGTAGCTCTCCGTCAAATCTTTTGTGTCCCTTCGTCTCAAGTTACGTTGGCTCCTTCAGAAATTAGGGTTTGCGACAAGTCACAATGCTAAACTCTGTCTTAAAACCCGCGTCTCATATTTCCTCTTTCCAACCAAGAGTAATACGCTCGAAACCGGGTAACCTCACAAGTCAGTCGCAACTTTGTTGGGTTTGGTTGGGAGCACGTGTTGCTGTGCTAAGGCCAGCATCTTGGTACCTAGGTACATACCTAGGAACCTGCCTAAGCGGAGGTAGTAAGACTGACGGCCGAGAGTTTTGCTCTGCGTTTCCTGGTGGATGTGGGCGACTTGTGTCTTGTCGTTTCAGTCGGTCGCATGGAACTGCCGGATCTGTTTTCTAGGTGTGGGAGCTTTCCATGCCTGAGGGGCTTGTTTGGCTTTTGCGTAGACGAACCGAGGGGTCGTTTGTGTTTTCAAAACTGCTCGTCACAAATCTCGCCTATCGTTACCCAATCACATGCGATTTAGCCCAACCAAGTGTAATACACTAGGAAATATGAGACGCGGGTTTTAACTTAACGCGTAGCTTCCCGCTAGCGCCATGTGTTGTTCCCGAATCTGTGGCTACACCATATCGAGCAGTAGGAGCATCACCTTCTCTCGGATAATGTTTTATTGGCTAGCAATCCAGGATATGCGTTCTGGTTCGTTTGATATGTGCACCCGTCATATATCTTCTCTGATCCTTGCGGTCGATGGTAAGTTGGCGACTGGCATAAGCTGATTGTGCCCTAGGACTTTACTTCCGCACGATTAATCGCCAATGTTACAGACTCCATGCATTGGTTTGTACATAATGCTAAGCTTTATGAAGTGCTGATTTTGAATATAATCCACCCTTTTCTTGCCAATCCTTCACGTGTTTCTAATCTTTTTTCTCCAGACTTTCATCACTCGCAAACTATTGTGTAGACAGAGACCATGTGTGCACAATGTTCAGGAGTTCTCTTTCAAGGTGATCACACTGATTCACACATGCGATGTATAGGATATGTCTACACGTTCCCGTATTGCTGCACGTCCCTTGTTTGGGTTGCAACAAACTACTCACATATGATTCCATTACCTTTGCGATCATGTGTTCTTTAAATAGGGCATTTCTTGGACAACAGACGGAGGAGATCAACATTTACCAAGGGAAATTTTATTCATCCGTAAGCGCTGCTAGAGATGAGATAGAGAAATATGGCGATAAGTTCAATTTCAAGCCCTGGTATAGGGACAACAGGCCAGAACGCCTTGACGTGTGTTGCCCTTCCATGAAAGAAAAAGACTGGCCCAAGAATGAGGCCAAAGCACCAGAGGGGTTTTGTCCCTTTCGGATTGTAGCTACCGGGCCTCGAAATCGCAGCTTTAGTGTGAGATCAGTGACGCTGCAGCATGCACACACGTGTGTGCCACGCCCTGGTCGGATTAGGAGGGAACAGGTTAAGCAAGTGGTGCGTGAAGTACGTGCTCATACAGTCATTAGACCTATTGGACTACGACAGATGGTGCGGGAAAAGTTAGGCGTCGACTGCTGCAATGCTACGTGTGGCCGATCAATAGATGATGTCACTCGAGAGGATCCTCTAGGTGGAGAGTCGGGTTTCCAGTACATTGGTAGCATCCTAGATGTTTTCAAGAGACATAACCCATCAAGCGTTGTGTCATTGATGCTGGACGAGAATAGGTTCCATCGTGCTGCAGTGATTTACCCTGGAGTCCGTGAGGTAGTAAAAAATTGCTTTCCGATCGTATTTGTAGATGGATGTCACAACAAAGGTAACTGGCGAGGCCATACTCTGAATGCATGCATGATTGACTGCGAACATAAGCTGGTGAGGTTAGGGAGTGCATGGGTAGAAGGTGAGAGTGCGGATTCGTGTGAGTATTTTTTGAGCCAGCTGAAGGTAGCTGCCCTTGAGATCAACACTCCAAGGTTTACACTGATGCATGATTGCGGGAAAGCATGGAAAGCAGCTGCTGCCAGAGTGCTGCCAGGGGCGCGTGAGGCATTTCGCATCACACACTTGGTGAGGAATTTTAACTCAAAGTTTGGTTCAGACTGTGATGGCAAGATCGAGCTCGCGGCTGCAGCATTGACCAGAGATGTGCTGCGGGGCTACATGGACAAAATCGAGGAAGAGTGCCCTGGGGGGAAAGAATACTTGGAGAGGGATGGATTAGCCGCACATTGGGCTACCTTTCTGTTTGGTGCGTCACGTTTTGGGTGCTATACCTCAAACCCAGTGGAGTCGCATCATGCCTCTATGCACAAGTGGAGGAGGGACAATCCAGCACAAGTTTTGCTTGCATTCATAACACAAGAAGCGAATGCAATGGAAGAGGGTCGTAAGCTGTATGGGAATCTCGGGGTAGCTGATCTCCCCCCCAAAACAGCAGGCATCCTTCGTGCTAATTGTCAAATGGGCACTCAGTACAAAGTGGAGAAGACTGGCCGAAGTTCATACCATGTGAGCCGTGACACTGGAGCCAAGGAGGAGCGTGTGGTGGTATTGGAGGCTGTAATTACCAGAGGTGAGTTTTGTGTTTAGGCTAAAACTTGAAACACAATAGGGAAACATTCTGCACCTGGTGTTAGGTTTGTCGGAACATGCATTCATTTTATTTTCCCTCAGGAAATCTCTTGATGTTCGTCATTTGATGGATCCTAACATTCGTTTGACACCCATTTGATTTTCCCGTACACATGCAGAGAGTATGGGCTGCCATGTATGCACATGTTTGCGGTACTGCTCCACAACATCCGGCCGGCACGTGGCAACGAGTTTGCGGATGTCCAACTTGTGGTTCAAGCCATGATCCACAGGTGTTATACTTCAAACGCTTTGAAGGAGCTCTACAACACGGAGATTCGCACTCTTGACCGCACTGAGGTCGTTCCAGATCAGACAACTGAGGCACCAATATACCCAAAAAAGTCGGGGAGGCCACGCAACAATCGGTTGAGGTCCCATGGTGAGATTGATGGGAGGAAGCTGCGTAGATGTGGGAAGTGTGGGGAGAAAGGGCACAATCGAAAGACTTGTGATTTGCGCAAACAAAGGAGAGACGCGTGGGAGGCACTTCACACTCCGGAAGGGCACATGAGTGTGCAAACAGCTGCGCAAGCAGAGGCTCGGGTGAATGTGGTGCTGTGTGGTGCATGCAATGTAAGGCACCACAGGGATGTACTGTGCGAGCCTAGGAGGCAACCTCGTGAACATGAGCAACCACAAAATGGGGTGGGGGTGGTGGACGGTAGCGCGACTCACGCGGGGGATGGTGGTGAGAATGAAGATGTTGAGGTATCAGACGAGGAGGAGGACGGGAGTTCGGAGTCGGAGGGGGAGGGAGAAGAGCAGCCGATAGATGCGGGTGCTGGTGTCCAACAGGCTGTCCCAACAGTACTCCGTGAAGTATTTGGCGAGGCATTTAACGGGCTCAACACCTCAGGAACCAACGGAAACATGCGCCCGGGGGGTGTGGGGTTATCAACAGCGGCTGAGAGTGGGGGATTGGGGGAGAGGGGAGGAGTATCCGAGAGTGGAGGGTCTAGGGAGCGGGAAGGAGCATACGCGAGTGGGGCAGAGAGGGGAGGAGCATCAGCGGGTGGGGCATGGAGGAGAGGAGCAGCCGAGAGTGGGGCGGGGAGGGCAGGAGCAGAGAGTGGGGCAGGGAGGGCAGGAGCAGAGAGTGGGGCAGGGAGGGCAGGAGAAGAGAGTGGGGCAGGGAGGGCAGGAGCAGAGAGTGGGGCAGGGAGGGCAGGAGCAGAGAGCGGGGTGGGAAGGGCAGGAGCAGCCGAGATCGGGACAGGGAGGGGAGCAGCCGAGATCGGGACAGGGAGAGGAGCAGCAGGGAGCGGGGCAGGGAGGGGAGGAGCAGCAGGGAGCGGGGCAGGGAGGGGAGGAGCAGCAGGGAGCGGGGCAGGGAGGGGAGGAGTAGCAGGGAGCGGGGGGGGAAGAGGAGGAGCAGCAGGGAGCGGGGCAGGGAGGGGAGGAGTAGCAGGGAGCGGGGGGGGAAGGGGAGGAGTAGCAGGGAGCGGGGGGGAGAGGGGAGGAGCAGTGAGCGGGGCGAGGAGGGCAGGAGCAACAGGGAGCAGGGCGGGGAGGGGAGGAGCATCAGGGAGTGGGGCAGGGAGGGGAGGAGCATCAGGGAGTGGGGCAGGGAGGGGAGGAGCATCAGGGAGTGGGGCAGGGAGGGGAGGAGCATCAGGGAGTGGGGCAGGGAGGGGAGGAGCATCAGGGAGTGGGGCAGGGAGGGGAGGAGCATCAGGGAGTGGGGCAGGGAGGGGAGGAGCATCAGGGAGTGGGGCAGGGAGGGGAGGAGCATCAGGGAGTGGGGCAGGGAGGAGAGGAGCATCAGGGAGTGGGGCAGGGAGGGGAGTCGAGAGTGGGGTAGGGAGGGGAGCTGCAGGGAGCGGGTCGGGGAGGGGAGGTGCTGTAGGGAGCGGTGGAGTGGCGGGTGAGATGGAAATTGACCACAACGATCCCACCCCTGGTGATGCCTCGCATAACAATGGTGACAATGTGGTTCGTTTTAGACTGAGGCGGCTGCAACACGTTCGTCAGCAAAGACAAGTGGCGCCCGAACCAAGAAATAGGGATCAGAGGCCAGCAGATGTGGTGCCGGAAGGGACGGGGGCGGACTCAGAGGCAACGGGCCATACAAACCAGACCCCAGTACATGATACGCAAGAATCAATCGTTGTGGATAACCCAGCGGACCACAAAGGGAAAACGCTGGATGAACAACATCATGTGAAGTTGGGGCAAAAGCGACGTCGCCAGTTGAGAAGGTTGCAGATGCAGCAACGACATCAGAGACGGAAACAGCAGCAACAACAGGGACAGCATCAGGAGCAGCAGGGACAGCAGGAGCGGCAGGGACAGCAGGAGCAGCAGGGAGGGCAGCAGCGACAGGGACAGCAGCAGCGGCAGGGACAGCAGGAGCGGCAGGGACAGCAGCAGCAGCAGCCGCAGCCGCAACAGCAGCAGCAGCAGCAGGGACAGCAGGAGCAGCAGGGAGGGCAGCAGCGACAGGGACAGCAGCAGCGGCAGGGACAGCAGGAGCGGCAGGGACAGCAGCAGCAGCAGCCGCAGCCGCAACAGCAGCAGCAGCAGGGACAGCAGGAGCAGCAGGGAGGGCAGCAGCGGCAGGGACAGCAGCAGCGGCAGGGACAGCAGGAGTGGCAGGGACAGCAGCAGCAGCAGCCGCAGCCGCAACAGCAGCAGCAGCAGGGACAGCAGGAGCAGCAGGGAGGGCAGCAGCGACAGGGACAGCAGCAGCGGCAGGGACAGCAGGAGCGGCAGGGACAGCAGCAGCAGCAGCCGCAGCTGCAACAGCAGCAGCAGCAGGGACAGCAGGAGCAGCAGGGAGGGCAGCAGCGACAGGGACAGCAGCAGCGGCAGGGACAGCAGGAGCGGCAGGGACAGCAGCTGCAGCAGCCGCAGCCGCAACAGCAGCAGCAGCAGGTACAGCAGGAGCAGCAGGGAGGGCAGCAGCGGCAGGGACAGCAGCAGCGGCAGGGACAGCAGGAGTGGCAGGGACAGCAGCAGCAGCAGCCGCAGCCGCAACAGCAGCAGCAGCAGGGACAGCAGGAGCAGCAGGGAGGGCAGCAGCGACAGGGACAGCAGCAGCGGCAGGGACAGCAGGAGCGGCAGGGACAGCAGCAGCAGCAGCCGCAGCCGCAACAGCAGCAGCAGCAGGGACAGCAGGAGCAGCAGGGAGGGCAGCAGCGACAGGGACAGCAGCAGCGGCAGGGACAGCAGGAGCGGCAGGGACAGCAGCAGCAGCAGCCGCAGCCACAACAGCAGCAGCAGCAGGTACAGCAGGAGCAGCAGGGAGGGCAGCAGCGGCAGGGACAGCAGCAGCGGCAGGGACAGCAGGAGTGGCAGGGACAGCAGCAGCAGCAGCCGCAGCCGCAGCCGCAACAGCAGCAGCAGCAGCAGGGACAGCAGGAGCAGCAGGGAGGGCAGCAGCGACAGGGACAGCAGCAGCGGCAGGGACAGCAGGAGCGGCAGGGACAGCAGCAGCAGCAGCCGCAGCCGCAACAGCAGCAGCAGCAGGGACAGCAGGAGCAGCAGGGAGGGCAGCAGCGACAGGGACAGCAGCAGCGGCAGGGACAGCAGGAGCGGCAGGGACAGCAGCAGCAGCAGCCGCAGCCGCAACAGCAGCAGCAGCAGGGACAGCAGGAGCAGCAGGGAGGGCAGCAGCGGCAGGGACAGCAGCAGCGACAGGGACAGCAGGAGTGGCAGGGACAGCAGCAGCAGCAGCAGGGGCAGCAGATGCCCCTGCTCCTGCAGCAGCTGCTGCAGAATGCGCAGCAGGAAGGGCAGCAGCAGCAGGGAGAGCAGCATGAGATGCGTGGCCAGCAACAACAGCAGCATGGTGTTGGGCTACATCTGGAGCAACTGCTCCAAGTATTGCGACAACATACCCAAAACCAAAACCACCAACAGTGGCCTCAATCACAGCACCAGCAGCAAGATCGACACGAGCATCTGTAAGACAGTCAAAAACAACATAAACGAGGGGAGCAGCAATGACAGGACCAGCAGAAGACAATGCAACGAATGCATCAACAGCGGCAGCAGCAAGAGACACGGTTGTGGCTGCAATCCTCTTTGTCAACCATCTCCCACTCCCTGCAACCATCCCTTGCTCTCGCTCCATGCTTCGGGTACCTGCTCCTGCTACCCGCTCCCACTCCCTGTTGTGATCCTGCACTAAATGAGTGTCGTGTATTTGTTGGAAATACCAGACAGGGGAAACATTTAGGTAATTATTACCTTGGATATACCGTTTGTAGTGGTATTTGTTCATGGATGTTCATCACTCAAATGTGCAACAGTGGAAAGCACTATATTCAGAAAATGAAGCATTGTTGTGTCACATAAATATTGTTGGAAACAAGTAACCTTAAGCGCCTCTGTCGTGTCGATACACTAAGGCACAAGCGAGACAAAGCATATCGAAACATCAGCGAGTCAACCCACAGAGGTTGAGCAACTGCCGAAGGTTACAAGAAAGTCAAAGGTCAGCGACCTTTGACCTGACAAATACAGCGCGACAGCAAGGACAAACAACTGACTCTCTATCGAGCAGTTGCCCGAGTCGTCACTGTATCGAACCGCAACAGCAAAAACAGTTATTAACCGCATCTCTTCATATTCCTTGTACTCTTATATAAGCTTGTATCTCTTTACTGTAATCAATCTACTTTGCCCTCACATACTAGCGCAAGGTGGTTCAAAGACTTCACTACACGCTTCCGCACTTACAACAAATCCTACCCAGAGTTTAGCCTTGCAAAGATCCTAAGGGCTTTTCTCAGCCCAACATGGTATGAGAGCTGTCAAGGCAAACTCAGCTACTAAAAGGATACCCACAACATCAGGAGTCATGGCAACTCAGAAGGAGAGAAGCTCCTCTAACGATTCTCCCGACACTACCCCTACCCCACCACCTGCCTCTGGTCTGCAAACAGAGGAGGGTACGACAACAAGACCCAGAGCAACGTCTGCTGAAACACCCGCGAATCAACCTGCAGGCTTCGATCAGAGCATGATGGAGAAATTCTTCTCCTTCATGTCCTTCTACGAGCAACATCAACAAGCGGCCCCTGCACAGTCAAACATCAGCAACAACAACAACGACGTCACACATATGAGCCTCGATGGCTCATCCTACGCACGTGGAAATCAGCAGCCTGCCTTTGCTCCGTATGAGCCTCAGCGCGGCTCCATCAGCTTCATGCCACAGCAAGAGAAAACGTTGGACGCACTTCAAGTTCAATCGCAGTTCGCACACGTCTTGAAGCTACAGACGTCAAGTCCATTCGACGGGAAGGACTTCTTTACCTGGTCATTCGAGTTTGAGCTGATGATGGAAGGCGCACAAGTTCTTGGATTCTTCGACGGGTCCCTGCCATACCCTACAAATGGGACGCAATATGACAAGCAGCAGTACACATATCAGTCAATGATGGCATACACCATCCTGCTGAGGAACCTGACAACAAGTCAGCAGCAGAACATTCGCTCTTATCGAGGATACGGCAATTCTGCAAAACTCGCATACAACCATCTGAAGAACCTGTATCAAGAAACAGACAGCGTCAACCAGAGTCGACTAATGGCGCAGCTAACAACAGTTGAAATGAAACCAGGCGAAAAGGGAATGGCGTATATCAGCCGCTGTCGCGAATTGCGCGACAAACTTCTTCGATGCGGAGGATCAATCGCAGAAGAAGCCTTTGTCACTGTCGTCATCACTGGACTTGGCCCTCATTGGCGCTCCACTCGAGCTATTCTCCGAGCTCACGGGAAGATCTCCGAAGCAGCACTCTGCGCTGAAGTTCACGCTGAACAGCAAGATATGGATCTACACGAGGAACGACACAAGAAGAAGACATCAGTACCTGAGTTCGCATTCCACACTCAACGGCGCTTCAACAACTTCAATCGACAGAACAAGCAGCTGCAACCTAAGCCTGTACCTCCGTTCTACCTACCTTCGTCGAAGATACACCACCAACACCCGCACAGCAGCTAAACCCGGCATCACGAGAAGTCCATCGAAGCGCGAACTTCACCGCCAGCTTTTACACCAACTCCGACCTATATCGGCGTTCACCCGGACATCGCGCCGGCGAAGACATCTGGCACGCACGAATGGGACATCCAAGTAACACGACGTTCAACAACACAATCCGAGCAGGCGTCCTGGACAAAGACTCCTTACTTCTACCCGATGGAAAAGAACTCCAACGAATGAGAGGAACATGCCTCACCTGCCCGGAAGCTGACTTACCTCATCAGCCCTTCGTGCCCCATCACAATCCAAGTGCACCGGCGTACGCACCTCTGGAAAAGGTGTACAGCGACATACTGTACAATCGAGAACCCGGGCAAAACGCATACAACTACACCATCACGTTCATCGACGCAGCCACACGTTACGTCTGGCACCTCAATCTTCCAAGCAAGGACATGGCCTTCGAAGCCTTCGTCGCCTGGCTTCCAGTAGCGGAATGAGAATCAGGCGTAAAACTCAAGGGCTTCCAGTGAGACGGAGGAGGAGAGTACACCTCACAGAGGCTCAAGCAGTACTTGGCAGAGAGAGGAATCAAGCGGCTCATCTCTCTTCCCTACGCCCATCAACAGCAAGGCGTCGCAGAAAGGATGAACAGGACTCTCCAGAACACCATGCGCAAGCTGTTACGAGGCATGCGGCTACCCAACCATCAGTGGCCTGAAGCAATGGACCACGCTGTACTCCTGCACAACTTGGTTTCGTCATCATCACTCCCGAACAACGCATCACCACATCTGCTGTGGACCGGAAAGCTGGGCAACACAAAATTGTTACGGGTTTTCGGCTGCATGGTACAGTACCGACCCCCATCTGCACGGGCCGGCCGATTTTCCCAACGCGCACAGTGGGGACTGCATTTGGGCATCGAAAAACATTACAACGCATGGAAAATCTTCGACATCAACACCAAGGAAACAGTGGCAGCACGTGATGTCATCTTCTACGAACGACTCACCCTCTCAACATACCTCCACAACCAGGCAACTTCACGGGATGTCACAGGAGGATTTCATGGGCACCGAGCCTTCGCATCGGCGGAAGATGAAGCTGACCTGGACGAACAAAACGTGGATGGAGCCTCGGAGGAAGCCGGACCTCTCCCCTACTGTTCAGACGAAGTTCCAATGGACGACGAAAACCCGCGAGAAAGCATCAACGCCGAAACCTTCTACCACTTCGTCGACCACGATTACGTTACACCTGTGAAATAGTAGGAAGAAGAGGGGATGCACTAGCAAGAATGAGGATACAAATAGCAAACCCTAGAAGGGTTGTACTCGCTATAGAGCACCCCACTACAGGCTAGAGCATAATATTCTGACACACCCCCATAGCCAAAGTGGGGTGTAATCAGCAAAGCAGTACAAGCTCAGGGTGGATCACAATGTCACCACACATTCTGAGCACAAGTTCAAGAAGCAATAGTTTAAAGTTCACAATTATGAGCAAAGCTAGAGGCTATCGCAGAGGGCAAGTGAGGAGGAGGAGAGACTGTGGGGGAGAGAAGATGGGAGGCGACTGCTGACGCTGCAGACACACAGACGAGCTGCTGGCTCAGTGGCTACCGAAACAACGCTCCGGACTACTGGGGTAACTGGCCCCGCGGCTAAAAGTAGCGGCAGACGAGCAACGGACCCACGGGCGTCTGGCGACTACCGGAGATTGTAGCCTCCGGACTGCTGCTGCTGCTGACGACAAGACTGCTGCCTCCACTCGACCTCCCCCAAACAGTACCACCCCTCCTGACACACACCCGCTGCTACACCGCTAGCTCCACTCCCCCTTCACCCCCCCTTAGCACCACTCCAACGGCTCCAACAAGTCCACCCCCCCTCAGCGGCAGCTGCAGCACAGGGAGACGGAGGAGGAGGAGGAGCAGGGAACGGCACACAGTAGTTTCACCCCCATACCCCTCACCCCCAAACCCTAATTCAGGAGAACGGGCTGTAGGAGGGGTGGGGCGCCAGCAGAAGCACGGGGGACAGCGGGGAGGGCAGGGGCAGCGAGGAAAGGGCCGCCCACGGGCCTGGCACAGCCTCCCGAACCGCGCGCAGGCGGCCCGAGCCGCGCGCGGGCCTGGCGCAGCCCGTACGGGCCGCGCGCGGGCCTGGCGCAGCCCGTACGGGCCGCGCGCGGGTCTGGCGCAGCCCGTGCGGGCCGCGCGCGGGTCTGGCGCAGCCCGTACGGGCCGCGCGCAGGCCTGGCGCAGCCCGTACGGGCCGCGCGCCGGCTGTACGGGCCGCGCGCAGGCCACGACGGGCGACGGGGGGCGACGCGCGGGTCCCCGTCGCCCGTCGCAGCGCCTCCCGAGGGCGACGCGGCGAGTGACGGGGTAGAAGCCCGCCGCGCGCCTCGGGGCGCACAGCGGGCAGAGAACCGCCGCGCGCCACGGGGCGCACGGCGGGCAGAAAATCGCCGCGCGCCTCGGGGCGCACGGCGGGAAGAAAAACTGCCGCACGCCACGGGGCGTGCGGCACAGAAGGTAGTAGTGGAAGTTGCAGCGGAAGCAACGAGGTGGTGAGCCCACCCACAGGATCGATCCAAGGGGATCGACCTGCTCTGATAGCATGTGAAATAGTAGGAAGAAGAGGGGATGCACTAGCAAGAATGAGGATACAAATAGCAAACCCTAGAAGGGTTGTACTCGCTATAGAGCACCCCACTACAGGCTAGAGCATAATATTCTGACAACACCGGCACAGGTCAACACCGACGAAGCAGAACACGTAGGACCAAACTTCAATCCCACACCAGAAACGGGAGATGAAGCAGTCTATCCCGAGGATACCACACTCCCTCTATACACCCAGAGTGGCCTCCAGATACTTGGACTCGTCACCGCAGTTCACGGCGCAGCGATTCCTAAGGAGCCTGCGACAGTTCAGCAGGCTCTGGGGGGGGAGCATAAGGAAAAATGGCGCGAAGCCATGGACAGGGAGCTGAAAGCACTGGAGGAACGCAACACCTGGAAAGTCGTTCCTATTGGAGTAGCACGAAATAAAACCATACTCACCGGAAAGTGGGTCTTTCGCGTGAAGACAAACGCAGACGGCACCATCGACAAATTTAAGGCGCGCTGGGTCGTGCGCAGCTTCGATCAAGAGCACGGACGCGACTTCACCGAGACATTCGCTCCTGTCAGCCGACACACCTCACTACGAATTCTCCTCGCCATCGCCGCCATGAAGAAGAAGAAGCTACGACAAATTGACGTCGCCAACACATTCCTCTACGCACTTGTTGACGCAGAAATTTTCGTTGAACTTCCACACGGCACTCACGGAGAACCTAACCAAGTCTGTCAGCTGCTGAAGTCACTCTACGGCATCAAACAAGCTCCGAGGTTGTGGCAACAGTATCTACACGCAAGACTCATTCGCATCGGATTCCAACAACTACCCTACGACCAGGGCATGTACCGACTCACGAAGGGCAACGACTACATTCTGCTCATTGTCTACGTGGACGACCTACTCTACATAGGCTCAACCGACAGTATCACTACTTGGTTTGAAGGGGAGCTGCAGCAAGGTCTCACCCTTACAGTCTCATCCACCGTCAAGCAATACCTCGGCCTCAACATCCAAGAAGAAGAAGATGCAATCTACCTCAGCGCCGCGAAATACGCCGACACCATCACCAAACGTTTCGATCTCACCCCGACCACCATCTCTACGCCCTATCGATACACCGCCGGAAACCACAAGGAAAGCTCGACACTACTCAAGCCCGCCGGCATACGAAGCTATCAACAGAAACTAGGATGTCTCCTCTTCGCAGCCGTCACCTGCCGCCCGGACCTATCTTACTCAGCAAGTCAACTCGCTACTTACCTCAAAAGGCCTGAAGCAGAACACATGGCGGAGCTCGACCGCGCTCTTCACTACCTCGTCAGCACCCCAATGATCGGCCTGACCTATCACAAAAACAAGATCACGACACCTAAGCCAATCGGCTACGTCGACGCAGATCATGCCGGCGACTCCGACAACAGGCGTTCACGCACCGGCTACATCTACCGTCTTGAACCCATCGGACCCATCTCCTGGCAGTCAAGCAAACAGGAACTAATCGCCCTCTCCTCAGCTGAAGCAGAATATATCGCTCTCTGCTCAGCCACCAAGGAAGGACTTTATCTTCGCGAACTCCTGGAGGAAGCAAAGCTGGCTCAGTTACCCAGCTTCACCCTGTTCTGCGACAACCAGTCAGCAATTCGCATAAGCAACAAGAGCGGGTTCGCGAACAGAACGAAACACATCGCCCTGCGATACTTCTTCGTGAAGGACGAAATCGAGAAGGGGAAACTTGAGCTGTCATACTGCCCCACGTCCGAGATGGCAGCTGACTACCTGACCAAGAAGCTCGGAAAGCAGAAGTTCGAGTACTGCATGCTGCTGACTTGACAGAGCCACGTCATCAGCACCGACACTCCAGAAGCGAAGGGGAGTGTTGGAAACAAGTAACCTTAAGCGCCTCTGTCGTGTCGATACACTAAGGCACAAGCGAGACAAAGCATATCGAAACATCAGCGAGTCAACCCACAGAGGTTGAGCAACTGCCGAAGGTTACAAGAAAGTCAAAGTCAGCGACCTTTGACCTGACAAATACAGCGCGACAGCAAGGACAAACAACTGACTCTCTATCGAGCAGTTGCCCGAGTCGTCAATGTATCGAACCGCAACAGCAAAAACAGTTATTAACCGCATCTCTTCATATTCCTTGTACTCTTATATAAGCTTGTATCTCTTTACTTTAATCAATCTACTTTGCCCTCACATACTAGCGCAAGGTGGTTCAAAGACTTCACTACACGCTTCCGCACTTACAACAAATCCTACCCAGAGTTTAGCCTTGCAAAGATCCTAAGGGCTTTTCTCAGCCCAACAAATATAACACACACCACCACCTTGTAGCAAACACACCTAGTAGCAAGGTGGGTGTGTGTGTGTATGTGTGTGTGTGTGTGTGTATGTGTGTGTGTGTGTGTGTGTGTGTGTGTGTGTGTGTGTGTGTGTGTGTGTGTGTGTGTGTGTGTGTGTGTGTGTGTGTGTGTGTGTGTGTGTGTGTGTGTGTGTGTGTGTGTGTGTGTGTGTGTGTGTGTGTGTGTGTGTGTGTATGTGTGTGTGTGTGTGTGTGTGTGTGTGTGTGTGTGTGTGTGTGTCAAAATGCCGCTCTGTCAAACAGCGTTCGCCGAGCAGAGGTCCTTGACCAGAACTCTTCGACCAGCGCTCTTCGACGAAAACTCGTCGCGCAGAGATCTGCGTCCTAAGCTCGTCGCGCAGAGCTCGTCGATCAGTAGAGCCTGCTTGACCACAACTTCCCTTGAATTGCAAAAGCACTTTTCTTCCACCCATCAGGCGCGAACTCCTCATTTTCGGAAAGATCGGCTGCGCTAAGCCAATGCGAGGGCGTGACCTTTATATTCGACAGTAGTATGCATATCAAGTTGCTTGACAGAATTACGATTTCAAAATCTGAAATGTACTGCCATATGCTTCATTCGTGCATTAAGAAGATTGAGTACCCAAAACTAATTTCGAGACCCTCAACTCATATTTCGATATTCATATTTCTCAATATGAAACATATATTTATCCAAATTGATATGTGTCGTTCTATCGCCCATGTACAAAATCGCGATTCTGTTATGTGTGACAGAAACCCCTGACGGAAAAAGTCACTCGAAAGATTTGACGGAGAGCTACTCCGTTTTCGTTTCCGTCTGCCTTGATGGCCTGCGTTCCGAAAATTTGGGCGCGAAACAGTAGCCTAGCAGATTTCGGAACAGTGTGGCAGCCGAGCCACCCAGATTGTGGATTCGATTTTGCAGAAGGGACAAAAATCTGTTGCGCACAGTTGGTCAGATGTCCAGTACAGTAGGTGGCATGGAAATTGTTGACACGTGGGTGAATGTGGGGAAGTGCCCTGCCCTGTTTCTATAACTTCTCTGTCTGAGGCACGGAGGGGTGGAAAGTGCCCTCTACTTGCACTGTAGTCCCCCTCAAAGTGCAGGGTCGCTAGTCTAAGCCCTGCCAAAGCTACTTACCCAAAATCATTCAACCCGTTCTTCCAGAACATGCTCAGCCGCATCTGTGGGTTTGCGACCATGTTCTAGGTTGTGGTGAGGGCTAGGCATACCTAGCCTCCAATCGATACAAGCGGTGGCTGAGCAGAATACGCACTACTGCAGTAGTCCCCCCAGTGGCCGACGAATCGATACTGTCACATACTCGTCACTAACTCTGGGAAAGGTTTTCCACCGGCCTAGGATAAGCGCCCGGAAAGTGGCGTTTCACTTTGCGTGTTCGGCGGCATCATCGTGTGTTTCCACAAACCGACGCGGCTCGTAATGCGGCGCTGGGCCCTTGAATTCCACATTTTGCATAAATTGGACATTTCAGCTTCGAAAGAAACATTCCTCAGCACACAGCCATCATTGAGTAGCTCGAACACAGAAACAATACTTCAGCCTCAAGTCTCAAGTCTTCAGCTTTTATACTGAAGCCCGCTATGGCTCAGAAAATCGCCATCCTCGTCGTCACGTTGGCATGCCTTGCCGCAGTCGGTACGTTATCGAGCAATATTTCTGATTGCAAACACATTTATAACGTGGATGCACTGTGAATGCATCAGAAAGCGATGCTGTGAAAACTGTCATAACGCAGAAGCTGACGCGTTCGTGAATGTGTTTGCAGGATTCGCGCGTCCGCCAGCGAGCGTTCGCGCTGGGCTGCAGAAGATCGAGAAGAATGACGTGTTCATGGGAGTGTATCAGGGATCGCTCTATGCTGAGCTGGACCACGTGGACGGCGCCGACAAGATGTCCGACGGATATGCCTACATGGCGATCTACAAGTAAGATTCGAGAAATCGTTTTTGAAAAAATCTCCCTCAACCCCAGGAAAAAAAGAAACCAATCAACGTCGCTTCTTCAGAGTGACGTTTCTGCATGGCCCATCGTAACAGTTATCTTCATTTTCAAGATACTGATCCGTACTTATCGCGTTTCGAATGGCTTCCAGGAAGGGCGACGATTACAACATCCGATACGGCGCGGAGGCCGAATCCAAGGAGCCCGGGGAACCCACCGCGTTCACAATCAACAGCGCGGCCGACAACAGCCTCGTTATCGACCTGGGCGCCGGACAGACATACAAGAACACCACGTACGAGCTCCGCGTGTTCAAGTTCCTGCAGAAGTTCGTTCCGTACTCGTACAGGTTCAAGGGAAAGTGGGCCCCGGCCAGCAGCGTCACCGTCGCCGCAGGCCCGCTCAAGGACACCGTTGACGCCATGATCCAGAACCCTAAGAACTATTATGCGATTTTCAACACCGCAACGAACCCCACTGGTTGCGCCAAGGGCGCGTTTGATTTCATCCAGCCCTGGTGGAAGCGCCTGTAAGCAGCGGGGTGTGTAGCATGTGCTGGGGAAGAGCTGTTGATCAGCACGGGAATCGCGCTAGAGAGTCTGATGTGTAGAGCCCAAGGTGCTTGTTCACTCACTTGGTGAACATTTCCCTCCGTTTCCTGGAATTTCTCTTGTTGATGTGGGTTTTTTTACGAGTCTCAACGAATTCACCTATCAGTAGCTCCTTCATAACACAGAATGCATACCGAAGCAGGCTAAAGATCAGTGGGGTTAATTGGTGTTCTAAAACCTGAACGCCGCGTATTAGTGAGCCCCGTGAGTTGGTGCTGTATGTGGCGAATTTCCTTCCGCCTCCCTGCATGCCCACCTCTGTATGTGTATTCGACGTGCCCTCAAATCAGGGATCTGTTCTCTGCTTTGGAGACATAAGTGGCCAGATAGTTTATAACATAGATTGTTAATTACAATCCATTGTTCACTAGATTTCTGCTGGCCCGCACACACATTGACACACACGGCCACCACCCCTCAACACACATACTCACAGAGAAAGCACTCTCACCCACTGTTCTACACCGCACTACTCTCCTTGCTATCAGCAAGCGACAGGGAACTACCCGTTACCAGGCCAGCAACATCAGAGCACTCTTCTGGCTCAAGCTTTTTGTCCCAGGCGAAACACAGCACTGTAGTGGAGACACCTGTAGCGAGGACGAACGAGAGCACTACATTGGAGATCTGGGAAACCACTACAGTGCTTAAAAGAATGAAATAGGCAACAATTAGACCCGCTTGGGGATCTTCGCGTGGTGTGCAGAGCATAAACCAAGACACGGCCTGCAAATGAACAGAGACGATTGGGAACTGGTGTGAGAGCAGGCCTTGAACATGGAAGCTGTGAATGTGCTGTGCACGTGTAAAACGGGGAGTCAACGTGCAGGATGCTTTGTAACAAATCATGCAAAAACGGAGGAGGAAGGAGCATGCAGCAACAAAGTGTACTCACCACAACGAGCGCGACTATTTGATATGCGATGCTCAGCAGACCACTGAGAACCATTCGCGGGGCTAGCATAGCAGTATTAGAAGCCACAATGGGCACCAGAAACCGCTGCAGGACGTTGAGAGAGAGGCGCAGGGAGCGAGAGAAGCCATGGCCGCTCACTGCACTGGTGGGGAGGACGAGACAGTTGAGGAAAAACCGGATTGCAACGGCTGTGCAGTGAAGCAGCGCCACCAGCAGGCAGCCGAAAATGCCCTGGCCAAAGAGGGCCAGGAGGAGGGCGGAGAGGAGGACCTGGAGAATGGTGAGGACGCTTGCGGTGAAGGCAATGGCACAGCAGGTGCCCAGGGATGAGGTGCAGGCGAGGGTGAACGCTGAGGAGAGGAGCTGTAGCTGCTTTTGAAGCTGCCCTGTAGTTGTCACGCCCTCTTCCTTTTCACCCTCCTTCCCGTCCTCACTGCTCCTGCTGCTGCTGCTTTCACTGCTGCTGCTTTCACTGCTGCTGCTGCTGCTGCTGCTGCTGCTGCTGCTGCTGCTGCTGCTGGTTGTGGCATACAGCCGTGCGAAAACAGCGGATGTGGAGTAGGTGAGAAGAGCTGAGAGCACTTTGAAAAGGAAAAGCAAAGTGAGAATAAGGATGGCCAAGAGGAGGACATTGGTGTTGGAGTAAGCGTAATACATCAAAGGGAGGCCCAGGAACGACGCTGCGAGCATAACGAGGAGCGGAATAAGGAGGACGACAGGCGCCCGGCTGATGGTTGCGTGCGTGGTGTGTGTGATGGCCGAGGCCGCGGGCAGCAGGTGTGCGCTGCAGCGCAGAACAAGTAGCACTGCGGCGGCACTGAGGAGCAACAAGAAAACGATCTTGATGAGGAGGAGAGGACGGAGGATGAAGCGAATAACTCCAGCAGCTGCTGGTACTGAGAGCCCCCCTCCCATGCCTCCCATGCCCTCTCCCATGCCTGCCATGCCTGCCATGCCTATCATGCTTCCCGTGCCCCCTCCCACGCCTCCCATGCTCCCTTCCGCAGCACTTTGGTCTTGCAGCACCGGCCACCATGCGGGGCCAGCAACGGCGCCTTGCAGAGCGCAGCTCACCGCGACGAGGAGCAGACAAGTCTTTACGGTGCTAGCGGAGACTCGTCGGAAGCACGAGAGGAGCAGCAGGGGGAGGGGGAGGCTGAGGGCGAAGAGGAGGAGGAGCGCCAAGGGAGAGACGATGAGAGAGAGGACTTGTCGACAGGGGAATGGCTCAAGGAGGGCAATGCCCTTGGAACCCGAGGAGCCGAAAAGTTCGGTGAACAGGGCAGTGAAGAAGCTGTAGATTCCGAGGAGTACGAGCACCAAGGGCACAAGGAGGGTGAATCGCCATCCCCCGTCACGCACAGGGCGCACGTGGAAGTTGAGAATGGCGGGCGGTTCGTCGAATGAGCCATCGTTCCACCCGTTGCCGACCGTTGACTCGTCGCCGTCGAAGCTCTCCTGAAAGACGATGTGATGCGGCAGCGCTGTGGCCTTGCAATATTCAGCCGGCTGCTCTTCCTGCAGCTTGTTTTGAGTGGCTGTTGCTGCGGTGCTGCGGTGCTGCAACTCAAAACGCGGTGCTGCGGCTTTGCAAGGTTCAGCCTGCTCTTCCCGCCGCTTCGGCTTCAGCGGAGCAATATCGGCGGCGGTGTGTGACATGAGGTACCGTGAGGCGTCATGGTCGCCGATTCCGAGCACCGTCAGGTCTGCGTCGTCGCCGTCGTCGAGGTCTTGCGAAACGTTGACGCCGTCGCCCCCTTCCGAGGAAGCTCGCGGCCCGCGGACGGGCCATTGATCGGAAATGGCGTCTTGTGCAACCTTGACGCCGCCGCCATCGCCGCCGCCGTCTCCGTCTTCAGCGGCGGCCGGCGCGGCGTGTTTGGGACGAGTTCCCACGTGGCGTTCCGCTGGCTGCGCCGCGTGCTCGTGGGTTTCCACGCTTTCCGCTGTTGCGGGGTGCTCGTGTGCAAGGAGAGGCGAGACGCCTTCAGTCTTGGAAGGCATACTCGTTAGAATGATCTCACTCATTCTGGTAGGCTGACAATGCCAGCGCCGACGAGGCTTGGTGAGGTCTGACGGGAAGGGAAGACTGCCCGTGGCGCCGACAATGCAGTGCGGTTGGAGTAGACTGGCAATTGCCTGGCTCGTGTTGTGAACTACCACGAATACTTGTAGTACGGAGGGACACGGGGTAGTTGAGGTGGGATGCGTGGCGTGGGTGGCAAGGCATGAGCGCTGGGGTGGAAAGCAGCAGGAAGCGTCGAGGAAGAGGAGAAAATGTGTGGGAAGATAGGAGGGCGGAGAACCACTCGTGTACGTCGAGGGGCGCGCGGCGAATATTCGAGGAAACGGCTCCGTTGACTGGTCCCGTCCTGGGAAAATGGGTTCGTTGTCTCTCCGTCCGCTAAGGTATTCAGGCACAAAACAGGTGGGCGGAGTGGAGTGCACGTCAGGGGCGCGCGGCAAGATGATTCGAACAGGATCCAGCCCAAGCCGCCATGATTTGGCGCACTACAGCCATGTCGCCATTTCGCCATTCGAACATATGTACCTCCAACGTCGCGGGGACACGCATCGCAAGTCTCGGTTCGCCGCCCATCTCGCGAGAAGGGCGGCCACTAGCAGGACCGCCGCGCCGCGCCAAAAGTCGTTCAAAATAGGGCACGTGTACATAGCCTCTGGGCACAGCTTGTGCCGCCCCATGGGTATGTGGACAATGTTGTGAAGTCCCTACATGTGGGTGACGGCATGAGATAACTCTCCATGCGTGGATAGTAGTGTGAGCACGTGGATGGCGATGAAAAGACATGTTATAATTGCTTCCAATCAGCCACTAATTGGCGGAAGGAAGACGATTCTGTTGTGGGTCAAAATCTGGCTTCTCCTAGGCACAAGCTGTGCCAGAAGGAAGGCAGCTCTCTGGGTTCACTGTTTCCGTTCAGTGAGGGTGTCACGCATACTGTACTGCTCATGAATCCATTGTTCAGTTCAGGCTGGTACGTGGCCGTTCAAAGCAGTTAGGCATACATACCGCTCTAAAACGCACAACATCATAGTCAACCGCTTTGAATGAACTGAAAGTTCACCAAGCATGACACGCCCGATTGCTTGATCTTTCGTTTGCCCTCGTCCTCTCCTTCTCACCACACAGAACAGTACCAAATCTCATTTTCCAGTTGGCCCCACACGATCAATGATGCACCGTGATTCGGGCCATAGTGTCTTCGGTTTGTAGAAACTCACAACAACTATAAGAAGATCGTCGTTCATACGGGATTGTACTCCGTTGCATAGAAATATAAACTTTGGAAAGTGCAGTCTGTTACCCATATTACAATATATTTTTTGTCCTTCCGTAGAATATATACGACTCTTACGCTATTTGGGAATCATAAGATCCATAAACGTGTGCCAGAAAAAATGTGGCATGGATATTATTATTTAACGACTGTTAGCTGGGCGGTTTACGTTCACTACAGTGATACACACTCTTTGTGCTAATTGGAGTTTTTCCGTACTGATCGGGAGAATAGCGTCAGAGGGGAGTCTTCACGCATCTCCTCTCCATGCACGGCGGCACATTCGAGTTCTCCGAACGAATCTCCGTCCAAAAGAACTTCTGGAAGGCTGGAATTCCTGTCTCCAGATCCGAGGCAATTTCAGCTTTGCCGGCACTCTTTCAGGCACGCACTTCGCTTCACCGTCGCTTGCCACTGAGGACGACTTCAGAGTCTGGAATCCGTTTCGTGTAGTGGTGATTTCACTTCCTGCTCTTGCTTTCTTGCGTACTCGTGCCCTCGCGTCAAGATGGCGTCTGTGCTGCTGCCCACGTCCGTGAAGCCTAAGAAGTATGTGCTCCATCTGGAGCCGAATCTGGAGACCTTCAAGTTCAAGGGCATCGTGACCGTCGATTTGGACGTCGTTGAGCCGACAAATGAGATTCGGTTCCACGCGCAGGAGCTGGAGCTGCATAAGGTAAGGCGAGTAGTAACTGGTTTTTATGTCCTTACGGGAAGGCATAAGGTACGGATAATTACGGACTGCTCTTCTTGAAGTTGTCGAGTTGAAGTTAAAGACTGGTAGTAGAGACTTCATGGGATAAATTTCGGCTCAAAAACTTTATTGACTGAATTTGTTTCCATTGTCTCAAAAAGAAGACATAAGGTGAGCGGATTGACACTGGTTGTGTTTCAATGTCCTAGAAATTCGTCATATGGTGAGCGGATTGTCACTGAATCTGTTTCAATGTCCCAGGAAGAAGACTTACGGTGAGACGTCGTTACAGAATATGTTTCAATGTCTCAGAAATAAGAGATTCGGTAATCGTATTGACGCTTACTGTGTTTCAATGTCGCAGAAATTATGTCATGTGGTAAGCATATTTTCACAGAATATGTTTCAATGTCTCAGAAATAAGAAATCCGGTGATCATATTGTCACTGATTTTGTTTCAATCCCCTTCAGGTGGAGTTGACAACCGGTGGCAAGCTTCTCACAGCAGGAGTAGATGGAGTGCCGGCGGTGGAGCTGGACAAGGAGAGGCAGGAAGGGAGAATCATCAGTCGTAGCATGCTCTCCCACGCTGCCTGCTCACTGCAATCCCCTTCAGGTGGAGCTGACGACAGGCGACAAGCTTCTCACAGCAGGAGCGGATGGAGTGCCCGCGGTGGAGCTGGATAAGGAGAGGCAGGAGGGGAAGTTGGTGCTGGGGGAAGGGCAGACGCTGAGCACGGGGCCTGCAAAGCTCAGGATCGAATACACTGGCATTCACAACGACAACATGGTTGGCTTCTACCGTAAGTGCTGTTTTGGGTACATAGTGTGACGGCCAGAAACAGTAAGGAGAGGCAGGAAGGGAAATTGGTGCTGGGGGAAAGGCAGACGCTGAGCACGGGGCCTGCGAAGCTCAGGATTTGAGTACACGGGCATCCACAACGACAACATGGTCGGCTTCTACCGTGAGTGTCGATCGGAGTAAGTAGGGGAGGAAGTTCAGTTGAAGTGCTTTCTGAAGCAGTGGATGGTGATCATTAGATTCGAACCAGTAGGAACGTGCCAATCCGTTTCTTGCTGAGAGAAGCTGATGAAAACACCCGTCCGCGCTCCCCATTTCCTTTCACTTTCCCCTTTCAGGTGCATCCTACACCCGAGACAGCCAGAAGAAGTGGATGGTAACCACTCAGTTCGAGCCAGTAGGAGCGCGCCAAGCCCTGCCCTGCTGGGATGAACCCGCAGCAAAAGCCACGTTTGAGGTGTCACTGCGCGTGCCGGCCGGGTTGCAAGGCTTGTCCAACATGGACGAGGTTGGGCGGGAGAAGCAGGCGGACGGGTCCGAGGTGGTTCGGTTTGCAGAGAGCCCTGTGATGAGCACGTACCTGCTGGCGTTTGTGGTGGGGGAGGTGGAGTGTGTTTCGGACAAGACCAGCAATGGCACTCTGGTGAGGAGAATGGGATAAGCGCGGGGGTCAGGGGTGGGTGGGACTGTGTGCAATGTGATTGTGTGGGAGTGTGTGTAATGTGACCGGCCGGACCGGGTTGCAAGGCTTGTCCAACATGGACGAGGTTGGGCGGGAGAAGCAGGCGGACGGGTCGGAGGTTATTCGGTTTGCGGAGAGCCCTCTGATGAGCACGTACCTGCTGGCGTTCGTGGTGGGGGAGGTGGAGTGCGTTTCTGACAAGACAAGCAATGGCACTTTGGTGAGAATGGGAAAGCTTGTTGCGGCATGATTGCAGGGGTGTGGTTGTACAGGTGTGGTTCGGTTTGCGGAGAGCCCTGTTGTGAGCACATACCTGCTGGCGTTCGTGGTGAGGGAGGTGGAGTGTGTGTCAGAAAAGACCAGCAATGGCACTCTGGCTAGAGTGGGAAGGGGATATGTAATTGCATGTAAGTGGAAAAGATATCATGGGTTTGTTTGCAATCAGTGGGATCTTGTTGACTGTATGTGAGTGGATTAGGAATCATGTGATAGTATGGGGTGTGATTGTATATGCATCTAAGCCCACATGTTCATGCTGTACTGTTCCTATGTTGGTTGGTGCGTCCAGGTGAACATCTACACGACGCCAGGGAGGAAGGAGCAAGGAAGGTTCGCCCTGTCAGTGGCGTGCAAGGTGATCACGTTCTTTGAGGACTACTTCGGAATCAAGTACCCCCTGCCCAAGGCCGACCTCATTGGTGAGTTTTGAGGCGCCGTGCGGGTGGTCACCAGCATACCTCAAAGGACGCTTGGTGGCGCGCATTGCAAGGTGATCACGTTCTTTGAGAACTACTTCGGAATCAAGTACCCTCTGCCCAAGGCCGACCTGATTGGTGAGTTTTCTCACTGACTCCCCACCGTTCCTTACTTGACTCCCTTCTCCACATGCCATGTTTGTGTAGCCATCCCGGACTTCGCCATGGGAGCCATGGGGAACTGGGGCCTCATCACGTTCAGGGAGACGGCTCTGATTCAGTCTCCCTCCCTCGTTCCCCCATCACCCCCCCATTTTTCCCTCATCCTGCATGCAGCCATCCCGGATTTCGCCATGGGAGCCATGGAGAACTGGGGCCTCATCACATTCAGGGAGACGGCTCTGTTACTGGACGAGAACAGCGCACCTGCTGCCACCAAGCAGCGTGTGGCTTATGTCATTTCGCACGAGCTGGCCCACCAGGTATT